GGGCAAATTTATACACATTTTGATTCATGACATTGACTGCAATCGCCACCATGTAATACACTCTTCCCACTTCCTCCCTGTGTATACCATTCCCATTCTTCCTTCTCTCCTATCTCTTCTTGCTTTCTTCTTGACACCATTTTCTTTATGCTGGCTAGCCCTGTCTTCTATCTATAAGCCTAGAGTGTGCCTGGCCATTAGCACCAAGACTTCTAACAGAGACAAGGACTTTTGAGAGGATCAGCTCTAAGGAATGCAGCCTCCAATCTACTGCAGCTCAACCATTCCAAGTCTCCCAGAATCCACCTCTCCATAGCACATATATGTCTGCTTTTACACTTGGAAACTCAGGTCTCCACTAGAAACATTTTTGCTTTTAAATTTTACTTATCCTGTTGTTGAGCATATAGACCACAAGACACACACCAACCCAGCAGTTTCTATATGTCCAATTTAGATACATTGATTCCATTCTTTGAATTTCACTCTCCTTTTCTGAGTTGTTCCTCCCATCTTGACATAAACTCACCGCAGCTTAAGGGTCCTATCTAATCGTTTGAATAGCTATTGTCGCTTTGATCTCCTATATATACTATTCTTTAAAAGAGGATAATATTCAAGAGAGACAGTTGAGGTTTTTCCTAGTCAGGCTAAACTGTTGTTTAATTTTTAAGGTTTCAAGGATATTTTTGGTTTCAGATTTAAAGATTACCTCAGGACATAATTTCAGACTTTCTGGAGCCTGTAAGCATTTGAAATCTTGTTCTGCTTTTCCTCCCTATAGAATAGGATTATTCCTATAGACGCTATGATTAAATGTTCCGTAATGGTAGCCAAGCACTATAGGATCAGAACCGTTCTAAGGATGGGGCATTGATTGCCCTTTAAGGATATAAAATCAAGAAGACCTGGGTTCACGTACTAGCTTGACCACTCTCTAACTGTACAGCTTTGGGCAAGTTACGTAAAAAGCCTCTCTGCATTATTCTTCTTGTTATGCACCAGCTTAACAAATGATTCTTAGTGAGCCTTTGAACTACAGATCATACACTCTCTGTAAACAACAGAAGCGAACCTTGCCCTATACTACACCATCCTCACACCTCTGATATGCTCAAGCCCACTGCTAACAGTCACTGTGTGGATCCATCTGGTTGAGAATCTTCTTCTCTTTGACTGACATTTCACAGCATGATGTCTTTTCCCAAGGACTGGAGTCCCCTGACAAGTCCAAAGAATATGAGATGAAGTTTCACTGTTCTTGCCTCTAAAGAGCACCTTGATTACACATCTTCCAATAAAGATTGTTCTTTTTGCAGTCCATGGCATGTATATTCAATATTCTTTGCCTACATTATAATTCAAAGGCATGAAATCTTCTTTGGTCTTTCTTAGTCATGGTTCAGTTTTCAGACATGTGAGGAGTAACTGAAAATACCATACTTGGGTCAAGAACTCTTTAGTCATTACACTGACATTACTGCTGTTTACCATTTTAAAGAGATCCTTAACAGTAGGCTTTCTACATTTTTCTCCATGTTGTCCAGCTTCTCGAATGATTTACTCAGGATAGAGATTGAATAATTACAGAGAAAGGATACAATCCTGACACACATCTTTCCTAATTTTAAACCAGGCAGTGTTTCCTTGTTCTATTTGGAAAATTACTTCTCAGTCTATATATAGGTTTTCCATGAGCACAATGAAGGGTTCTGGGATTTCCATTCTTGCCAATGTTACCTATAATTTGTTGTGATCCGCACAGTCAAATGTCTTTGCATAATCAATAAAACACTCTGCATTTCATTAAGTTTCTTCATCAGTATTACCTACTTCTTTCTACCTCATGGGTTGTAATAAGAATGAGGAGTTAATACAAGCATGTGTGTGACATGAGTGTCTGACATGAAATCAGAAGTCAGTTCTCATAGACTGTCATCACAGTTCCTTTTTCCCCACTCATTCCAATAGTCAGCATGGCTCTGCCTACAAGAAAACCACTTAGGCTCTTCCTGTTAAGTCTTAACTCCAAGAATTTCAAAGACCAAGGCCTTTATCAGGCACACCTTAGCCATGTATTAGACTTCAGAAATGCAAATGAAATTACAAATATAAAATATGTCCAGGAGACATATCTTAAATAAACAATAGAAGAAGGGAGATACCCCTTATATTCTAACACATAACTATCATATAATCTAGCAATATCAATCCTAGGTATATACAAAACTAGGAATGCAAAGAGAAACTTTTACACAATGTTCACTGGAACACTTTTTACAATTGTCAAAAGGTGTAAACAACAAAAATGCCCATCAACAGATGAATGGGTAAATAAAAGATATATACACAAATATTTCTCAGCTACAAGGGGAGATAGTATCCTAATGCATGCCACTCCATTGATTAATCTGGACAATATTATGCTGAGCAAATAGTCATTTGCAAAACAATTAATACTATATGACCTTAGTTATATGAAATATGTACATTTATCAAGGATTTAATTTTACAGACATATTTGATTGTGCTTTGCCTCACTGTGCTTTGCAGATACTGCATTTTTTTGCAAACTGAAAACTTATAGCAACCCAGTATTGATTGGCACTATTTCTTCAACAGCATGTGCTCTGTGTCACATTTTGGTAATTGCCATAATATTTCAAACTTTTTCGCAGTACTATTGCACATTTATTAGGCTATAATTTAGTGTAAGCATAACTTTCATATGCACCTCTTGTTGTTGTTGATTGACATTGAGTTGAGCACAACTCATAGCGACCCTGTGAACAAAAGACCTGAAGTCTTTCTATAGCTATCATCATTTCTCCAAGTTCACAGAGTTTCCAGAGGATTGTGGTTTAGGAAGTGGATGCCACTCCTGCTTCCAAACCTGTCTTAAACTGGGAGCTTCACCAAACACTGTCTGCCATGGGCAGCTGTTATGGCATTTTATACCCAATGGCATAGGGTTCAGCGTCACAGCAAACCCAGATTAACTCAGTACAGCAAACTGACAGAAAAGTGCTCTACAACTTAGAAGAATATTACTACAAAATAAAATAGCACGAGGCCCAAGGGCCCAATCAACTTTTTTTTTTTCCAAAACAAAAACAGTTCTATTCAGAGAAAAACAAGTTTCAAAAAAAGTGGAAAAATCAAACGGGTGCGGGAGAAGACTTGTGCGCACGCTCAACACTACAGGTCCAGGTCTGGCCCTCTCCTAAGAACCTCGTGGCTGCTGCTACCAGGTGGAACGAGACAGCTCCCCTGGGCACCAATCAACTTTTTTTTTCTTACCAATCAACTTTTAAACACAAAGGCCCAGGAAATAAATTTTGTGTGACTTGCTTTACTGTGATAATTCACTTTATTGTGGTGATCTGAAACTAAACTTGTAATATTATCAAGGTATTCCTGCACCTAGATCCATAATCGATGTCCATGAAAGCAGTAGTCAAGAAATCAAATGACAAATTGCATTGGGAACATGTGCTGCAAAAGACATCTTTAAAATGTTAAAAAGCTAAGATGTCACTTTGAGGACGAAGGTTTACCTGACCATGGTATTTTCAAGTGCTTCCTATTCATCAGAAAGCTTAGACTCTTTTGGGCAATGAGTGTAGTGGCCTCAAATGGCTAGAGCCTGAAGTATGTTTAGAAGAGGTGTTTGCAAAAGTAGGTTGAGGCTAACCTGCACATAACAGGTTGTTATTGTTGTTGTTAAGTGCCATCGAGTCACAGGCGACTCATAGCGACCCTATGAAGGAAAGTCCTCAACACATGTGTCTTCCATCTTCTCTCCAGGTTCCTAGGGTTTCCGGAGGCAAGCTATTACGGAAGTGGATGCCACTCCTGCTTCCAAGCTTGTTTTAATTGGGGAGCTCCACCAAACACTGTCCACCATAAGTAACCAACCATTAACGCATTTGACACATCAGTGTCACAGTGTTCAGCCTCACAGCAACCACAAGTTACCTCTGTATGGCAAGTGGACACACCAGGGCTATACTTTGAACAAAAACAATGAAAGATAGGCCTGAGGGCCGTGGATTAAGTCACCCACCTTTGGCTTGGTAGCATCGCTTTCTGTCCACTGGGCCAACTGATACTCTATGTTGATGTTATTAAGTGCTGTCAAGTCACAGGCGACTCATAGCGACCCTTTGGCTTGGTAAATAACAAGTACATCTAACAGATGACTACGACAGAGCATTCTTACAAGTGCACATTTCTCATGCATTCTTTCACTTCAGGAGCAACCTTTCACTTCAAGCTCATCCTTACAATTGGTAGTGGTGTTAGGTGCGATCAAATATAACCTTTGAACAACAGATCAGAACCTGGACCATGAGAATCACAATTGGTAGTATTCAAGAAAGCAGCAGGTCTACAATCAGGAGCTGGGGATCCATTTCACCTGGTAGAACAAGTTAGTTTTGTACCTGAGTCCTCTTTTCTGTTAAGAAATCTATTTCACAGTGCTTTAAGAAAGACTGCACGTAACTACACATGTGACAATGTTAGATTCAACTTGTGATCCTCAGTTCTTTGTAAAATGAAGATAAGGCCAGCTTAACTCAAGGCTGTGGCTGCGGTTTTATAGAAGACCCAAATAGCAAAACCCTGATCAGCGAGGCAAGTTAAGTATTTGTTCCCCTTTTGGCAGAAGAGGCCAACGAAGTTGGTGCTTTTTGGCTGGAGGAGGAGCTGTTCCTCCTTGGGCATCGTCTCTCAGCTCTACCTACAGATACTTATTTGGGACCAGGCAGGAAACGTTCAGAAAACACAGAGAACAGCCCTAAACACAGCTTAGACCGCGGCGCAGGTGAACTGACGTAGCCACACGCGGCCCACTTAAACACTCAGCGTTCGCCGCATCCCGCCCCCGACGTCACAAGACCACCAATCAGTGAACAGTTCACTCGTGATGTAATATTCCCGCGACGAAGCCGGGTGGCGGCACCGTTTCCTGGTGATAGAGCCGGGACGCCTTGGTGATGGGCAGCCAGGAGGTTCTGGGCCAGGCAGCCCGGCTGGCCTCCTCCGGTCTCCTTATGCAGGTACTCCCCGCCTGGCCGGCCCCCAGCCTGTCCATCAGCCTGTTCTGCACTTGGGACCTGCGGGGAGGTAGCCCTGGGTCTTTGAGAGACCAAACTGGTCATCATGTGGACCCTGCTACAAAGGGATTGACAGCAGGTGATGGCGGTGGTGAGAGGGAGTCTGGGCCGCAGAGTCGGCAGTTCACTAGCGTGCCTGGAGAAACACAAACAAGCCACTTTCTTTCTGAGCATTATTCTTCCCATATGGCACCAGGAGAGAGTTCGATCAGGTGACAAGGGAACATTTCCAAGCTGTCAAATTTTCTGTTTTTAAGATATGGAGTTCGTTTCCTCCATGCCCGACCCCTGCTTCACGAAACGCCTTATTCAAGTTCTTTGACTCCCACTGTGTTCATGGAGTCAGAAGGACCGCAGACAGGCCTGGGTTACAAAGCCTGGTTTGATTCAGCTCTTGCATGAGTGATCTAGGACCAACCACTTACCCTGCAAGCTCCAATACCTGTTTGGTAAAGTGGACATAATAGTACCTAGCTTATATGGTTGTTGTAAGGATTTCTGTAGATTACTCACATATGTGCATTTAACACTGTTAAAGTGGGTGGTTGTATCTTCCTCAGGTTGTGTGACCTTGAACAAGTCACTTCTGCTTCATAACCCTAATTTTCCTCATCTGTAAGAGGAAGTGGTATATTCCAGTTGGTCCTCTAAGAGCTGGTCATTGTAAGTCAAAGAGTTCAATTTGTCTATGCCATACTCTTAAAACTTTTCAAACATTCTGTATTACAAGTCTTGAGTCCTTTCTTTCCCTTACTTTAGAGAGGCAATATTTCACATGAATGTTAGGAGAAAGACCCAGGCAGAGTTGGGCTTAATGCCTGCCCTTGCGAAGATCACTTGACATCTAACTATCAACTTCCTCATCTTAAAAACACTATAATTCAACCTCATAGAATCATTAGGAAGATTAGATGAAATCACATCTATTAAGTGCCTAGCACCTCAAGTTGATTCTAACTCAGTGACCCTATACGGCAGAATAGAACTACCCATAGGGCTTCCTCTCCTGTAATCTTTGTTGTCATGTGTGTAGAGTCACAGTCAACTCATAGCTGACCCTCCAGAGGGTTATCAGAGGCTATCAATCACATGAGAGGAGACGTGCTCATCTTTTGCCTGTGAAGCAGCTGGTGGATTTGAACCTTGTGACTTTGCTTTGACAGCACAACTCCTTACCCAGTAGGCCAGCATATCACCAGGTCTTTTCTCCTGGTGAGCCATTGGGAGTGTTGATTTTTTAATGAGCAGCTCAGCGCTTAGGGATTGCACCACACAAGTTCTTCTGGCACATTGTTGTTGTTGATTGCTTTCGAGTCAAACACGACTTATATCGACCCTATGAACAAAAGGCCTGAAGCAACTCTATCACTATCGACATTTATCAAAGTTCATAGAGTTTCCAGAGGCATGTTGTTTAGGAAGTGGATGCCACACCTGCTTCCAATCCTGGCACAATACTAGGGCTTAATACGTATTTTGTTAGTTATTGTCAAGTCCATTGCAATCCACGTGTGCAGAGCAAAATGATACTGGGTTTTCAAGGCTTATCCATTGGAAGCAGAGAGCCAGGCTTGTCTTCTTAGGCCCTCTCATGGATTCAGACCACCAACCTTTTGCCTGGTAATTGAGCACTTAACCATTTCTTCTACCCAGGGATTTAATAACTTCATTTTTAATTAAGGTAGTAATGATATTTTGAGTAGTCAGTGTAGGTATGAAATAAGCCAATCCACATAAAGCGTATAGAAAGAGTGCCTAGTGTTTGTAATTGCTTAATTGCTGTTAGCTGTCATCAAGCAGATTCTGACTCGTGATCACCTTATGTACAACAGAGTAAAACGTTGCCTGGTCCTGTGTCATCTTCCATAGTCAGCATGTTTAGGGCCTAAATTGTAGCTACTCTACTGATCCATCTCATTGATCCCCCTCATCCAAACTTTTTTGGGCCCTCTACTTAATGAAACATGATGTCCTTTCTCTAGCAATTGATGCCATTGAGTCAACGTTCTGTTGTGTTCAAAACAAATGAGTCAGTGTTCTGTTGTGATCCATGAAGCTTTCACTGGCTAAGTTTTCTAAGTCAGTCACCAGGTTTTTCTTCTTCTTAGACTGTCTTGGTCTGCAAAGTTCTGGACCTGTTTATCTGGACCTTTCTACCACAAGTGACCCTGCTGGACTTTGAAATGCTAGGGGCATAGTTTCCAGGACCACAGCAACATGCCAGCCAACATAGAGCTACAGAGTGGCAGACAGATGGAGGAAGTGCTTGACTGCTAGGTGCCATTGAGTCACTTCTAACTTATCATGACCTTGTGCACAACAGAACAGAACGCTGTCAGGTCCTGGTTCTGCACAATCCTTACTGTGTTTACCATGTTAGAGCCCCTGGTTGTAGCCGCTGGGTCAGTCCATCTTATTAAGTATCTTTTTGTCTCTGATCATCTGTTTTATCAAGCATGATGTCCTCTAGGTACTGACCTCTCCTAATAACAGATCCAAAGTTGTGAGATGAAGTCTCTCCATGCTCCCTTCCAAGGAGCTCTTTAATGGCATTTCCCCCAAGACAGACTGGCTGATTCTTCTGGCAGTCCTTGATATATTCAGTATTCTTGACTACCATTAAAGTTCAAAAGCATTGATTATTCCTTAGTCTTTCTTACTCACTGTCCACATAAGAGTGCTTAATAATGTGAACTGTTCTTCTCATGATATACATTTATATCTAATCCTGAATTTACCTGAGTTTCCTCCCTTTCAATTTAATAACATAAATAGCTGTTTGAATTTAGTGCTTTGTCCTTGATGTCGGTTGTTCAACCTTTGATGAGACCTTGACAGTTGAAATAGTTTTGTAAAAGGAAAATAATTTGTAGTAGAAAGCAGTTGAACTCAGAATCAAATGGCTTACCTGTAGAGTAAATAATTAACAAGTGTGAAAGCTTTTTTTTTCTTTTCAACTGTAAAATCCTTTACAGAAGTAATTGAAGACTATGTTGCTTCCAAGTGCTTCTGTGTGGAGCAATACTGAGTGATCTCGCATTTCCTTTCCATGTTGACTTTTATTCATACTAATTGAGAGATACGAATATAGTCTGAGGCATTGTTTTTTTAGACAATGGTAGCTTGAACCTTGAGATTAACAAAAGCATGTATATATGGTTTTGCTTTGCTTTTCAAGTAGCCATAATCTTTAGGTTTCTGGGGTATTTTCATTTAGCCCCACATACTTTCTAAATTTCTAAATGTAGACACTTGCTTTACAGTTACATTTTATTCTGTAGTAATTTCAGAGCATTTTTTTTTCCTGCCTCACCCTTTCATGACCCATGGGACATATATCACCCACCAGTGTTTTCAATCTCTTGGTTTTCTTGGGGGGCTCCTAGCCCAGTAATGGTATGTGCTACGTACCAGATACATAACTGCATGAATCTGAAGAAACAGGCTTCACTCACCATTCCTGCCAGTAGGGTCCACTTGGAACATGTGTGTCCTATGTAATTGTATCAAAATTTATGGTAAGGCACCAAAATATTTTCCCCTGGATTTCAGCATCACTTCCATTGTTTGTTGTTATGTGCCATCGAGTTGCCTGTGACCCATAGCGACCTTATGTATAGCAGCTGTGGAGCCTGCACTATCCTGAGCCAGTCTCATTGACTCTGACACACTAACCCCCATTGCCCAAGTTACTGTATCAGTTCATCTCATCTGAGGTCTTCCTCTCCTGAGCTGTCCTTCCACACTTCAAAGCATGATGTCCTTCTCCAAGGACTGGTCTCTCCTGGCCATGTGCCCCAAGTATATGAGATGGAGATTCAAAATTCTAGCCTCCAATGAGAAACTTGGTTTCACCCTCTCCAAGACAGACCTATTTGTTTTCTTGGCAGTCCATCAGATGTTCAAGAGTCTTCTCCAGTGCCACAATTCAAAAGCATCAATTCCTCTTTCATCCTTAGTCATTGTCCAATTCTCTGAAGCATAACAAGTAATTGCAAAGACCATGGCCTAGATTAGGTGCACCTTAGTTTCTAAACTGACATAGTTGCTTTTCAGTACTCTGGAGAGGTCTCTGACTGCAGATTTTCCCAAAGCAATTCATCTTTTGATTTCCTGACTGCTGCTGTTAAGAGTGTTTTGTGGAGCAGAGCAACCTGTAATTGTTAACAACCTCAATCTCTTCTCCATCTAGCTGCCAGTTGGCCCAATAGTGAGAATCTTTGTCTTCTTGATGTTAAGCTTCAGTCCATATTGAAGATTATAGTCCTTGACAAAGGACAAAGCAAGTGCTTCAGGTCTTCTTCAGTTTCAGCCATCAAGGTCACAACGTGGGTTGTTGATGAGTCTACCTCCAGTCCTGTCCTCATAAAGCCCTGATTCATGAATAATCTGTTCTGCATATAGATTGACAAGGTATGGAGACGATACATGCCTGACATACTCCTTTCCTGATTTTGAACCATGCAGTGTTTCCCTGCTGTGCTCTGAGGTCTGTTTCCTGGTCCAAGTACAGGTTTCACATAAGCACAAGCAAGTGTTTTTGGTTTCCCATTTTCCTCAAGGTTAGCCACAATTTGTTGTGATCCACATAGTCGAATGTATTTGCATTGTCAATGAGACATAAACATTCCTCTGGTATTCTGTGCTTTCTGCCAAGATCTGTCTGACATTGACAATAATATCTCTTGTGTCACGACTTCTTCTAAATCGACCTTGTGTTTCTGGTAATTCTCTGTCAATGTACTGTTCCGGTTGTTTCTGAACAGTCTTCAGCAGGATTTTGCCAGTGTGTGATATTAGTGATATTGTTTGGTAATTTTCACACTCTGTCAGGTCACCTTTTTTTTTTTAACAGGAATAAATATGGATCTCTTCCAGTCAGTTGGCCGAGTAGTTGCCCTCCAGATTTCTTGGCACTACTTGATGAGCACATCCAGGGCACTTCCATTACCAAAACAAAAAACTCAGAGCAGTTAACAGCAGAAACTCAAAGCAAAAAATCATTTAGGCATGAAAGGGTTACCTGTGAGCCAACCGTAGTAAAAGTATGGAAGCCTTTGATTTGTCTGCATTTTTCAAATATGCGCTCACCTCTGCAAACTCACTTGATAGTTGCTGCTAATGCTGTGAGATAAGTGGACTCATTTTATAGAGGAGGAAATTGCAATCTATGAAAATGAGAAGGTGGTGCCATGAATTCCAGATAAAGGCTAAGTCAAGACTCTCAGCTGAGTGCTTTCTCCATTAAGGGCTCCATCTTCACTCTCTGAGATCACTTCAGTCCATTGCTGCAGACACGTCAATCCATCTTCCTCTCTTTCACTGACCCTCCAACTTTCCCAGCATGCTATACCTTTCCAAGGGCTTCAGTCCTCTACAACTGAGTGCAAAATTTGGTGAGTGTGAACATTCATGGCCTTTTCTAAATAAGAACCCACAAAGCTTCACTGGACACTCAAAATGTTAACTTTGGACCTAACAGCGTTAAGCATATACTGTCTTAGCTTTGGAGACCTGGCTGCTTGGAGACCTTGCTGCGTGGTACTGTTTGAGGACAATGTCGTGCACCCTCCCTACTTGATCATACTGTTCCCTAGAGGTTTTTCTTCTGTAGTGGCTCCTTGGCATACTTTGAATTTTCCAGATTGTAGCTGTTCATGGGTAACCCCAAGTGATTGCTTGACATGGAGCAATTTGTCATATCTGCTGGTGGGCACTTGAGTTACTCTGGTGCTGTGGAAGGCACAGGTGGAGACCTTTAATAACTGACAGTTGCAGCCAGCCAGCGGCCCATTAACAGCCCCGTCCAGTATGCAGTCCTATTGTTGTCTAGGTCTCAGGGGAAAATTTCTTTGCTCAGGTGATTGTCTTGACAAGTTTTTAAAGCCTCAGAATGTATCCCCTGCAAATGACAATAGCCACATTCTCCCCTTTTCCTTCTTATTTTATTAATCTTATTATTGCAGCTGTTGTTTAAAAAGTATTTGAAGCTCTTAGGAAAGTGGCCAATATTCATTAAATAAGCACAGCCTTTTCAGTTTTCTGAGAAAACCAAAGTTAATAGAGATTCAATCTCATTATTGGAATCCCTAGATATTACTAGGCAGAGAAGAAAAGGGAATTAAACTCCATGATTCCTAGTGAGAATGCTATCCCCCGCAGGCTCCAGCTTGCTAAGTGTGCTATTTTGTAAATAGGCTGGAAGTTTCCAGCCAGAGGGAGGGGCATCTTGAGCCCCTAACTGCTCTTCTCTTTCTGCCTCCTGGAGCGCCTCAAGTTAAAAGTGAAGAAATTCCCTGCATCTCTGGAGACCTCCCTTTTCTATCACTAAATGGAAGAGACTTCCAGGGGCCTTCCTGGGTTCTGTGACTGCTGCACAGGAGTACTGAGAGGCCCCAAGGAATGAAATTTTAGAAGAAATGTAGACAAGTTGAGCCTTTCAGAGAGCTGCCATGGTAAAGCTCCCCCCTGACAGCATGTTAGGGAACGAAGCCACGTTGTTCTCAACTCAGCAAAGTCACCATTTCAACATAAGGTTGATTTTTAAATGTTTTTGTTCTTTTCCTGTAGGTGCTGTTTCGATTGATCACGTTTGTCTTGAATGCATTTATTCTTCGCTTCCTGTCCAAGGAGATTGTTGGCATAGTGAATGTAAGGTAAGAAAGATGTATCTGCGCCTGTCCACAACTCACATCCCCAGTGAGGCTTTCTAGAAACGTCTTCCTGTCAACCTTGGCTTTCCTTAAATTTTTTAAATTAAATTTTTATTTTACACTGGCTCACTTAATATTTTGTACACGTTGTTTTTCACATCAGATCTTTCCCGTTTCCTTTACCCACCCCTCCCTCTGCCCATCAAATTGTGCAACCCTGTGATTACAACCCCCACTCCATCCTCACCCCTTTCTGCTCCCCCCCATACTCCCCTTAGATCCTCATACATGTTTTACTAGTTAACTTTCTATTTCGACCTTGGATTTTAAGAGCACACACTTTGACAGGAAGTGGAGTGTTTTAGCAGTGGGCTGAGGAGGAGTGTGCCGGGGAGGGGAGATGACTGGATGCTGCCGCTTTTAATGGACCCATGGGGTAGTTTCCATTAGCAGCCTCTAACTGCACGTTTCTCAGCCAGCTCTTCCGGTTTGCCTGCTTAGAATTCAGGAGACAAGTGGGAGTAATTCATCACAAACCCCGTCTCAGGTACAATCCTGTGTTCTTGTCCTGTTGTCAGCAGAGAAAGCAGGAGTTCTGCAGTTCAGAGGATGCGGTTGGAAGGCTGGAGCAGCCGCCTTCTCTCCCTCCTCAGTGATGTTGTGTTTGTGTTGTTGTGGGATATAGTAACTAGGATGAGAGTGAGAGTTCTTGTTCTTTGATGACTCCTGGAAAACCAGCTTACTTTGTCTTTCAGATTCAGCTTGTCTCCTGTACTCTCCTCCTTTCTGTTCAAGAACACCCACACATATTTTGTATTCGTAAATGACATAAAAGTATATGAAATGATGTGGGCGCTCAGAATAGCTCGGCTTCTCAAATGTATCTTTATGTCCTGATAAACAAGACAATATGTTCCAAGCATATGCTCGTGGCTCTGTTCTCAGTGGCAATGCTCAAAGCTGAGGTGGGCAGAGGGATTCTAGGGGATACTTTGCGTTGGGTAGGGCTGAGCAGAGACTTTGAAGTCTGCATGTTGACAGTTTCCTCAGGTAGTTTTGAAGTCAGGACTATATTTTGGAAAATGGTGTTTTAAAAGCATAAAGCAATAGGCCCAGATCCTCTTAAGAATGCATATTGTAAAGCAGTTTTGACTTCTCTCCACTCAGCCTTTCCCAGTTACAAGTCTCTGCTTTGCCACTGTTGTCTGGTCTACCCTCATCTGGTTAAGAGCTCCTCGTCTGTAGTGATGGACAGAGGCACTGGGTAGCAGGATGACCCTTGGATGACCTTAGCCCTGCATCACTTTGACCCAGGTTGCTTCCTGTTAAGGAATGGATGCCTTAGCCTGTCCTTGCTAAGGGGCTGGAATGTCCATCTTGAAGCTGCTCACCCAGCAAGTACCCAGGCGAATGTTGCCAACCTGGGTTGCATTCCCTCGGAGTTACCAGCCTTACAGCCTCTCCTAAGATCCTCTTGGCCAGGGCGTCTACTTGGCAGTAATTCACCTGCTGTTAGAGAAGCCATCAGATCACAAATACCAGTGTGATCAAAAGCCCTCCGCCATGGTTCCTCAGGCTGTGGTCTTTCCTGTCTCTCCTCATGGTCAGAGCCAGCAAACCCAGGAAATCTGCCGATATTGGGGATGGGGGGGTGCTGTACACCTTATCTCCTGGCCATCACTCATGGTAGGCACACATCCTTTGCTTGTTCCTAACACTTTTGTTCAGCTGAATCAGGCTGGTGGGGGATCCTGTAGAAATCTGCTCTTCTCCCACAGCCACCAGTGAGTTGCAACCAAGAATGTCCTCCTCATGCATGCTGGCAGAATCACCAAGTCCTTTCAAGGAGGGAACTGGAGACCTTGTTGATTCCTACGTTTCCTTTTCAGGCTAACCCTGCTTTACTCCACCACCATCTTCCTGGCCAGAGAGGCCTTTCGCAGAGCGTGTCTGAGTGGGGGCACCCAGCGAGACTGGAGCCAGACCCTCAACCTCCTGTGGCTCACGTGAGTTGTGCACTAGTGAGGCTTGCGCAAAGGCACATGTAAATTAGCACAGCTCGCCTCAGGCTGAGCTGCCTCCAGATTCAGTTTTCCAGTCAATTTCTGGGCATTCAGCTGGTACTAGGAAGGAGAGAGTATCTGTCCCAGAGGAGTCCTTGGCTTGTTTTCTTTCTCAGTGGTCAGGAACAGAGAGGAAGCTCCAGGTTGGGGTTTCTACTCTGGATTCCTGCTGGCTTACCCTTTGTGGAGGTTGTTTCTGCTCTTCCCAGTCCTCGCTCTCAGCCCCATTTGACCACTGCTCTATTTTCATTCTTCTTCTTTTCCTCCTGTAGAACCTTTTGAGCTCTTAACTACCACTTAGTCTTAGTATTTTTCTGAGAACCTTTTAAGGGTTTCTTTATATCTTTCTTCACTTTTTGTTAAGTTGATGTTTGAGCCTTTAAAAATTTTGTTGGAGACCAAGTACATCAACTGAAAAGCATTATGGCTCTTCTGAGGGTAGTTCCCCACAGGGAGGGCTGGTAGCTGAAGTTGCTTCCCAGAAGTGCCCTTGCATAAGCGCCTGTTGCCTCATGGAAATGGCTGTCATAAGGCTGGTGGGTGTTCGTCTATTAAAGGGATGATGTCGCCACCCAGCCTTGTTTCAGCTCTTTATGGTGCCTGTATGAAAGGACGTGCACCGGGCTGATGCTCACTAGGGAGCAGGAACCAGATGTGTGCTAGCTGTCAGTCATGCACAGCAGCAGGCATGTGTCCCTGGGCCTTGTGTATACTGAGTCAGTAAAACCGAATACAAGTAAAGGCTTCCAGATGGACAGATTGGACTCAGGTCCAGTCTTTGTCCTTGCTCAACTAAGCTATCTAGTGCCCATAGACCTCTGTTTCTTTATCTTTCAGTTGGGGGCAATGACAGAGGATCACCATGAGGTATCAGAGAGGTAGACTGAATCACAGTGCCTGGCAGATAGTAAGTGGCTGTTGCTATTATGATAATATGTATTTGTTGTTTTTCTCCCTTCCTCCAGAGTCCCTCTGGGTGTGTTTTGGTCCTTTCTCCTGGGCTGGGTCTGGTTACAGTTGCTTGAAGTGCCTGATCCGGATGTCATCCCCCACTACGGAGCTGGAGTGGTGCTGTTTGGTCTCTCAGCCGTGGTGGAACTTCTGGGCGAGCCCTTGTGGGTCTTGGCACAGTCGCATATGTTTATTAAGCTCAAGGTTTGTGTGTCCTCTGCTTGGAACGGGCTTGTGAAGAATGAACAAGAGTGGGTGGGTAGTTTTTTAAAAAAATATGCTTTTTATACAAGGAAATAATTTCTTCTGATTTGCATCTAGAAAAATATTTGGAAGAAGGTAACTTTAATCACGCTGAGTTCACTTAAATTTGTCAGATGAGCTGGGCCAAAATTTATCTCTTCTCTATTCTTAGTTGGTACCATGTGGCAATGCTAACCAAAAAGGTGCACAGCTCTGGCAGTTCACGGCTACTAGCTGCTGCAAGGCAGAACGATGAGTAGTCTCTATATTAGTGAGAACCAGGCTGCCATTAGGAAGTAATTCCTTTGTTGTTGTTATTGTGTGCCATTAAGTCAGAACCAACCCATAGCTGACCCTCCAACAGGTTTTCAGAGGCACATTAATTGCATGGGAGGTGATTGCCCATCTTTTTTCCAGGAGATTCAGGATTCTCCAGGTGGATTCAAACTGCGAAAACAAACCACAAGACTTAGGGATTGCAGTGCAGTTTCTTACCACTAGGCCAGCAGTGCTCCCTGTAATTTGTTTAGAGAAGAATTTAAGACTATAAAGATTTTTCGTATTTTCCCAGAGATTCTGTTTATTTAGATACTGATAGTAACTTTTATTTTTTTAAAAAATATACCTACAACGGAGCTCTGGTAGCCTAGTGGCAGGAAGCTGTACTGCAATCCCAGAGGTGTGCAGTTCAAACCCACCAGATGCTCTGCTGGAGAAGGAGGGACAGTCTCCTCCTGTACCAGTTAGATCCAGTTTGACGGTACACTCACACAAAAATAATAAAAAAGAAATTAAAAAAAATAAAAATATACCTACAGTGAGTGTGAGTAAGATACATAGTGCTGCTGTAACAGAAATATGCAGCTGTTACAGAAATACCTCAAGTAGGTAGATAACTTTAGCAGTAGATAACTTTTCTCACAGTAGTTGTTTGCTGTTGAGTCAGTACTGACTCACAATGACCCTGCTGCTGCTGCTGCTCCTGCTGCCGTTGTTGTTGTTGTTCGGTGCCATCGAGCTGAGTTCCACTCATAGCGACCCTGTGAACAACCGATCTGAACCCTGGCCTAGCCTGTGTCACCCTCACTACCTCTGATACACTGAGCCCATTGCTGCATCACTGTGTCACTCCACTTGGTTGAGGGTCTTGCTCTCCTTGGCTGTCTGTCCCTCTTCCTTTCTAAGCATGATATTGTCTCTCTCCAAGGAATAGCCTCTCCTATCAACAAGCCTAAAGTAAAATTGCCCCAAAAGATTTCCTTGACAGACCTCTTTCCTAGAGTTGGTTACCAGATCTTTTCTTCCTTACAGCAACTTGTAGGTTTGAACCATCAAACTAGGAACTGAGTATTAACCATTGTGCTACCTGGGCTCCCTTCCTTGCAGTGAGGTGGTTGGAAGTCTGAATTCAGGGCACTGGCAGTGGGGAAGGCTTTCTCTCCCTGTTGCCTGTGGGGGAAGATCCTTCTCTTTAGCTTCTGACTCTTGGTTCCTGGGTGTTCTCGTTGGGACCTCTGTTCTCTCCAAGTCCTTGCTTCTTGTTTTACCTAAACTGCTTCTTTTACAACAATTCCTCCTTTCATGTTTCAAAGTGATTGGCTTAGGACACATTCTACAGTAATACAGCCCCTTTAAGACAACAAAGAAAATTCCGTTTCCAGATGGTATTACAGCCACATATATGTTGTTGTTTTGTGTCATTGTAAATTGATTCATAGATGACTTTCCAGTGGATTTTCAGAGGTTATAAGTTCCTCGGGAGGAAAATGCCTGTCTTTCTCCTGTGGAACAACTGGGGGATTTGAACTGTGTGCCTTTTGGTTGACAGCGCACCTCCTTACCTATGAGGCCACCAAAGTTCCTATCCACAAGTATCAGGGTTAGGATTTATAAGTTTCTCAAGGACACAGTTCAATCCAGAACAATATAAGCAACATGTCAACCTAAAAGTGAGGTAATATACAGAAGATTCATGAACTTGCTGTCCAGGCTAAGAAAACATTTGCAGTGATTGTGTTCACCCAAAGGCAACCTCCCATCTCATGCTCACAGTAGCCACTATACTAAGTTTCTTGTTTAAAATTTAGTTTTATGTCTGTGACCTTTTTGTTTCTGAATTACCTTTATAAAGTGAACCCTTTCCCACGTCTTTGTAGGTGATTGCCGAGAGCCTGTCCGTAATCCTCAAGAGTGTCCTGACAGCCTTTCTCGTGCTCTATTGGCCTCACTGCGGACTGTACATTTTCTCTGTGGCCCAGGTAAGAGGCATGGCTTTTCATTTATGTGTAAGGTTTATTTCTCCACTGGGTGTTTTCTTTTTGTTTTCCCTGCTGTGTGATTTACAGTCACAATTTTCATGCACGTGAGGAATGTGGGAAGCGTTGGGGGCTGACCTGAGATTGCTGCTCTGGCTGCCACATCCAAACAGCGACACCATGGGGTTCCCAGGACCTGGGGAGACCACACACTTGGGCTCTTTTGTTAAACATCAAAAAAACTCCTCTTCGACCCTCCTTAGGGCAAATCCAGAATCAATCTGATCTTTGACTGTATGACAGTCTTGTAGAGGAGAGAAAAAGGCAGTAAGGGGGTGGGGTGGGAATCAAATTGCATGTGTGTTATTTTCCCTGAATTTCAATCAGTTGTTTGCAGAATAGGAGGAAACTCTGCCAAGTCTGTCTTAAACTCAGATTGTAATCTCACAGGATTCAGAGGCCAGGAAAAAAAATCAGTTTCATTTGATTCAGGTACAATTTTCGGTTTTAGCAATTTTGGCCTCTTTTCCATCTCATTATATTCTACTTCTATTCAGTTGATAAAAATATAATTGTTGATAAAAATATAATTGCAGTAAAATTGCTATTTTAAACAAATGAAACTGGAGGTCAGATAGTCACTAGAATATCTTATATTACGAAGAAGTTTGTCATTCTTGTTAATGTGTAGGAGGACAAATTACAATTCTGAGTATTGATTTATGTGCAGATCTTTCTGAAGCCATAGGTCAAAACCACAGATATTTTTATAAAACACAGAAGGTCTAGATTTAAAATTAATAATGTAAAAGAACTAAGTTTTTGAGATGTCATCTGTGATTATTTATCCTGCATTGCATTGGGAAAGTCTGCTGTCTGGGACCTCTCCAAAGTACTGAAGAGCAGTGATGTTGGTCTAGAGACTAAGGTGTGCCTGATCCAGGCCATGGTCTTCACAATTACTTGCTATGCATCAGAAAGCTGGACAATGACTAGCGACAGTAAAAGAGAGGAAGGTGCTGGATAAAATTAATTGACTCAGCGACTGGGGTAATGGGAGCAGGTGTGTAAGAGATAATAGAGTTGGCTCAGGGTAGAGTAGAGTTCAGAGCTGTTGTACATAGGGTCACCATGAGTTGCAAGTGACACATAACAACAACAGACAACATTGGATCCAGAACTGCAGTTCTCCACATAGCTCATTGTTTCTGATGCACTCTCCCTACTCAGAAAACACAGCCACAGAGTCCTCTGGTAATTCATCAGCCTTTCTTGGGAAAGGTACTTGCATAATGACTTTATGATTGTCTTTAATTCCCACTCCGGCTTTATGGTGATTCATAGGTCAGCAAGGCCACATCTGCGTTTATTTGCTCCCTTGTTATTAGACTCCTGAGAGCTCTTCTCTGGTAAATTCTCTGTTAGTGTCAATGAGAGAGGTTAAAATACCATCAACACCTCAGAGCAGCCTGTGAGCTCCACACAAGGACCTTCGATGCCCCTTTGTTCTGCTTCTGCCAGCTTCTAGGCTCCTTGTAAAACTGACCCTTTGTCCTTACTCAAAACATGATCATCTGTGAAATAAAAGAGTCAATCCAGGGTGTAGAAAGAACTCTTTGGATTCACTCACAAAAAGACAAATAGCCAAAGGACTTAAATAAGCCTCTCTCAAGGATGATATACAAGTAACCAATAAGCACAGGGAAGATGCTCAACATCATTAGTCGTCATTGTTAATTACATGCCGTTGAGTCAGCTACATCTTTTTTTTTCCATTTCAAATACATTTTATTCATTTGTCCCTAGAGCTGTCTTCTAAGAGTCAGCTACATCTGATAGCGACCCTGTGAACAGTGCTCTGAACTACGCCTATCCTGTACCATCCTCACCATCTCCGCCATGCCCGAGCCGATTGTTACAGTCACTGTGTCAATCTGTCTTATTGAAGGTCTGCCTCTCTTTTGCTGACCTTCTGCCTTTCCAAGCATGATGCCTTTCTCCTAAGGACTGGCCCCTCCAGACAACATGCCCAAAATATGTTGGTGAAGTTCCACCATCTTTGCCTCTAAGGAGCATCTTGGTTGCACTTCCTCCGAGAAAGATTTGTGGATTCTTTTGGCAGTCCTTAGGATTACAATATTCTTCTCCAACACCGCAATCCAAAAACATTCTTTCTTTGACGTTCCTTATTCATTGTCCAACTATCAGAAGCATAGGAAACAGTTGAAAAGACCATGACTTGCATCAAGCACACACTCTTTAAACTGACATATTTGCTTTTTAGAACTTTGGACAGGTCTTTTGACAGCAGAGTTTTCCAATGCAGTACGTTTTTGACTGGTAGGGTGTTAATGGTGGATCCAAGTAAAATGAAATCATTGACAATGTCAATCTTTTCCCCATCCATCAAGATGTTGTATTATTTGTCCAGTGGTGAGGATTTTTGTTTTCTTGATGTTGAAATGTAATCTTATTGAAGGCTGTGTTCTATGATCTTCTTCAGTAAGTACTTCAGATCTTCACTTTCTACAGGCAGGGTTCTGCTGTGTACATAATGCAGATTATTAATGAGTCATCCTTCAACCCTGATGCCACATTGTTCTTCATTAGTCATTGTTGTTGTTGTTGTTATATGCTATCAGGTTGGAACCAACTCAGCTCCAGTGGATTTTCAGAAATGTTAAATCACATGGAAGATTACTCATCCTCCTTTGGAGCCACTGGTGGATTCAAACCCTGTGGCTTTGGGATTGTGGCAGCTTCTTACAACTAGACCACCAGAGCTCTCTTTCATTCATCATTAGGGAACTGCAAATCAAAACCACAGTGACATAGCATTTCACACTCACTGAAATGGCTAGAATTTTTTTTTCTTTCTAAATTTTCTTTGTTATTGTTGACAATATATATACAGCAAAAGATACACAAATTCAAACTAATTTACACTGTTGTTGTTGTTGTTGTTATGTGCGGTCGAGTCACTTGCGACTCATAGCAACCCTATGTACAACAGCCGTAAACCCTGCTCTATCCTGTGCCAATCTCACTGCCTCTGACACATCCTTCTCGATTACCCTAGTCACCGAATCAATCCACTCATAGAGTGTCTTCCCCTCCTGCGCTGTCCCTCCACTCTGCCCAGCATGATGTCCCTCTCCAAGGACCTGTCCCTCCTTACAACATATCCAAAGTATGTCAGACGAAGCCTTAGAATCCTTGCCTCCAAGGAGCAGCCTGAATGAATGAATTCATTCTCTCCAGAATGAATCTGTTTGTTTTCTTGGCAGTCCATGGTACATTCAGTACTCTTTTCCAGCACCACAGCTCAAAGGCTTCAGTTCTCCTTCTATCCTCCTTAGTCATTGTCCAACTTTCTGATGCATAAGAAGTTACACTACTTTAAATTAATAGCAGTTTCTGTACAATTGGTGACATCAATTGGAGTAATAACTCTTGGTAAGGTTGTGGAGAAATAGGAACCCTTGTCCATTGTGGTGGAATTATGAAATGGCACAGCTGCTGTTTGCTGATTCCTCAAAAAGTTAAACATACCTTTCCGCGCTCCCCACACAAGGGCCCATATGGTGTTGTTCTGGTTCCCGTCGTAACTTAAAGGGGAAACTTCCACAATGTCTGGAGCCCTTGATGTCCTGCAGATGAAGGAGGAGGATGTCCTCAAATTCCTTGCAGCAGGAACACATTTGGGTGGCACCAACCTTGACTTCCAAATGGATCGGTACATCTACAAAAGGAAAAGTGATGGCATCTACATCATAAACCTGAAGAGGACCTGGGAGAAGCTGCTCTTGGCTGCCTGCGCCATTGTTGCCATTGAAAATCCAGCTGATGTCAGTGTGATTTCCTCCAGAAATACAGGCCAGAGAGCGGTTCTGAAGTTTGCTGCTGCTACTGGGGCCACTCCTATTGCCGGGCGCTTCACTCCTGGAACCTTCACTAACCAGATCCAGGCAGCCTTCCGGGGAGCCTCGTATTCTGGTGGTTACTGATCCCAGGGCTGACCACCAGCCTCTGACAGAAGCATCTTACGTTAACTTGCCCACCATTGCCCTTTGTAGCACAGATTCTCTTCTGCGTTACGTAGACATTGCTATCCCGTGCACCAACAAGGGAGCTCACTCTGTGGGTCTGATGTGATGGATGCTGGCCTGGGAAGTCCTGCGCATGCGTGGCACGATCTCCCGGGAGCAGCCGTGGGAGGTCATGCTCAATCTGTACTTATACAGAGATCCGGAAGAGATTGAGAAGGAAGAGCAGGCTGCTGCTGAAAAGGCTGTGACCAAGGAGGAGTTTCAGGGAGAATGAACTGCCCCTGCTCCTGAATTCACTGCTACTCAGCCTGAAGTGACAGACTGGTCCGAAGGCGTCCACGTCCCTCTGTGCCAATTCAGCAGTTCCCTACTGAAGACTGGAGCGCTCAGCCTGCAACTGAAGACTGGTCTGCAGCACCCACTGCTTAGGCCACTGAGTGGGTGGGTACCACCACAGAATGGTCGTAAACTGCCTTAAAAAGTGGAAATAAGGTTGACGGAAAATAAACAATGCGTTTCGTAAGAAAAAAAAAGTTAAACATAAAATTACCGTTAAATAATTGGATATATATGCGCAAAAGAACTGGAGATAGGGAATCAAACAGAAACTCACTTCTCCTTGCAGCACTATTCACAATAGTAAAAAAGTGAGAACAACTCCAATATCCCTCAACTAATGGATTAAAAATGCTGGAGATAGGGAATCAAACAGAAACTCACTTCTCCTTGCAGCACTATTCACAATAGTAAAAAAGTGAGAACAACTCCAATATCCCTCAACTAATGGATTAAAAATGCAGTATATCCATACAATGTATTATTGAGCAGTAACAAAGAAACAAAGGACACATGCATGCTACCACATGGATGAATCTTGAAATCTTTGTGCTCAGTGAAAGAAGCCAGGCACAAAAGGCCATATGTTGTGTAATTCCATTTCTATGACTATCCAGGGAGCACTGGGGGCTTAGTGGTAAGAAGTTGAGCTGCCAACTCAAAGGCATGAAGTTCAAATCCACTAGTGGCTCCTTGGGAGAAAAAAGGACAGTCTGCTCCTGTGTGATTGACAGCTTCTGAAGACCCACTGGAGGGTCAGCTGTGAGTCGGTTCTGACTCAGTAGTACATAGCAGTGACAACTGCAGTAACAACATAAGACCATCCAGAATAGTCAAGTCCATAGAGGCAGGGAGCAGATTGCTGGGGAAAGGAGTTCATGGGGGACTAACCTTGGATTTTGCTTTTGAGCTGATGAAAACATTCTGGAACTAAATAATGTTGTTGTTGTTGTTAGGTGCCATCGAGTCAAGTACAACTCATAAACGACCATAACGACAGATCTGAGCCCTGTCCTATCCTGTGCCATCCTCACAATCTCTGACACACTCGAGCCCATTGCTGCGGTCACTGTGTCAGCTCTCCTGGTTGAAAGTCTTCCTCTCTTTCTCTGTCCCTCCCCTTCCCTAAATAGTGGTTATGATTGTATAACACTATGAATGTACTAAAAACTATGCAACTTTAAAATGGTGAGTTTTATGTGAATTTTCTCTCAATGAAAAAAGAAAGGGAGTATTATGTAGTTAGAATGCTCTGCATTGAGAGTACCCATAGGTACTATTTCCCAAAGGCTCTGGTCAGGAGGAAGATGGAAGAGGCCAGGATAGGGGCCAGAGAAGGGAATCACTTGCTCTGAGGAGGTTGGCTTCAGCAGTGTAGTGTGTCTTAAGGAGCTGGAGGGCCAGTAAAAAGGTGGTGTTTAATGTATTTGTCTTCAGGTGTGAATGGAGGAGGGAGCCCAAACCAAAACACCAAACCCACTGCCGATTTCAGTTCAGAGTAACCCTCCAGCAGGTCTCTGATGCTATAAATCTTTACCTGAGGTGGCTGCCCATCTTTTTTCCTCAGAGTAGCTGGTAGGTTTGAATTGCCAGCTTCAGCAGAATGGCATGTATTGTACTATGTCCCCAGGGCTCTTTTTGGAGAGCAAAGGTGCCTAAACTTGCTCAGCTGAGATGCCTTTTCCTTGTACTGGGCCTTGACTACAGGTGTAGCCTTAGAGTTTCAGGTTCAAAATGAGGCCTGCAGGTCCTGTTCTTTCTTTTTTTTTTTTTTTTGAGGGTGATGGTGTGTGTACCGTCAAGTCGGATCTGACTGGTCTGGTACAGGAGGAGATTGTCTCTCCTTCTCCAGCGGAGCATCTGATGGATCCGAACCCCTCACCTCTGGGATTGCAGTGCAGCTTCTTACCACTAGGCCACCAGAGTTGGCCTCCTGTTCCTTCTTGAACCAATGTGCACTGCTGTTCTGTGGAGGAAGACAGGAGAGAAGGGAACTTGTGAAGTGCTTTTTTGGATCCTCTTGCCTAACCTTCAAACAAAACCCGGGACAGCTGTTCCTGGCCAGAAGCCATCCTTTTTTTCCAGGATGGGTGGAGGAGGGTGGAGGGATCATTTCCAGGCCTTTTGGCTAAGATCAAGTGTAGCACGGGGTGGAGAGCGGGGTGAGGCTCTCTTATCTCTGCTTTCTCCCCTCCCCCTCCCCTATCCTGTAGTAGCTCCTGTCCCGCCCCTAAGCTGGAGGAGAGGAGAGCCAGGAACTGATTCTGCTTTGTAATCATAAATGTCACAGATTTCCGGGTTTAATGGAAACTGTAGTCCCAGATGACGGCAGGTTCCTAGATATGAGCACACAGGAGATGGGACTCTCCCGGGGTATATCTGGGTGGGAAAGTGGGTCCTTTGGCTCAATACAAACCTTTTTTTAAAAAATTTTTTTTTATATAATTTTTTTTTTTTACAGAGGTTTTGGATTTCCATTCATTCATTGCCGCAATTTTCTCCCTTCCTACCCCTCCCCACCAGCTTGCTTCCCCCTCCGAAGAGAGGGGAAAAAAAAAGAAAAAAATTCCTTCATTAGTATACAATTCCCACGTCCCTTCCCCCCATCCCCCACCCCGAGTACGCTTTTCTATGCAACCTTAATTCTGGATTCCTGTGCTAACCATAATACTCAATCATATATCACTTCTAATCTGTTCTTTTAAGAATATGCTTTTCTGGGGCTGTTGAGCTTGTGAGTGTCTGCTGTGGAAATGATCCCCTCCTCGCCAGTAGAAGGCTTATCTTCTCTGTTAGGTGAGGACTGGCTGCCTTTTCTGTGGAGGCACTGCCGTGGGGATGGGGCCTGGCGCATGGTGCTGTTTTCCAGAAGGGAAAACATAGCTTAGTTGAAGGTGCAGTTAAAATAGTTGTTTCTTGATTGACCTTTGAAGTCAAATTTATAAGCACATTTAAAACCATTTAAATGAAACCCATTTTGTCTTCTCTCTCTCTCTCTCTCTTTCAGCTTTTCTATACCACAGTTCTGGTGCTCTGCTATGTCATTTACTTCACAAAATTACTGGGTTCCCCAGAATACAGCAAGCGGCAAACTCTGCCTATCTCCAGAATGACGGATCTATTACCCACTATTACAGGAAGTGCGGTAAGTAATGCATTTGGTCTTTTATCTTTTTAATCAAGGTACTAGTTGTCCTTGAGAGAATGAAACTATGACTGGTTCACAATTATAATGATAAAGAGAATTTGACTTTAGCTCACATTTATTGAGTTCTTTTCTATGTCCTGGGCCAGACTGTCTTTTGATATGGGTAATTCTTTGTTATGGGGACTGTCTTGTTCATTATAGGATATTTAGGGAAACCCCTGACCCCTATTCACTAGGTGCCATTAGTACCCCTGACTCACGCTATGTCAGCCATAACAACCAAAAATGTTGCTAGGAGCTCTGGTGGCCTAGTGGCAAGGAGCTGCAACTACAATCCCAGGGGCGCATGGTTCAAATCCACCAGATGCTCTGCCGGGGAAGGAGGGACAATCTCCTCTTGTACCAGTCGTATCTGATTTGACAGTACACTCACACAAAAATAATAAAATAAAATAAAAATGTTGCTAGGTATTCCTGGGGGACAAACTTGCCCTCAGGTGAGAACTACAGTGCTGAATGTTTTGCGTGGCCTATTTATTGCTTGTAATAACTCTGTTTGGCAAACACTAACATTATTTCCATTTTAGCATAGAGGAACAGAGGCTTGGTGATTAAGCCCTTGTCTGAAGGTGAGATGAGGGCGGCAGCCTGGAGGGTTTTAATCCCAGCAGAGCATGGGAGCTGACCAATGTGTTCTACTCTTGTCTGTTCTGTCCTGTCCATTGACTTTCCTTCAATCTGCCTCTAGCACAGAATGCTAGGAGAGTAGGCATGACCACTTCATAATTGGCTAGCCTTCAGAGCACCCTTTCATGTACCCACTTAACAGGACCACAGAGGATTCCAGATGCTGAGGTATGGAAGTGAGGCTTCATATATTTTTCTCAACTTAACTGTTAGTCCATTTACTATTATTCTTTCCTGGCCCTTTTAGGCCCTGTGCTTCCTTACATGGGACGAGATTGCACATGAGATATTGTATATACTGCTTTGCTCAGCAGCTTCGTGAGCTGCTCCCTTTTGGGCTGACTCACTTTCCCTTCCTTCCGTTCCTATTTGCTGAGTGTAGTGTGCTTACTGTTAGCTTGAAGACTAAGGTGTGCCATGGTCTTTTTCAGTCACCTGCTGTGCATCTGAGAGCTAGACAATGAACAAGGATGACAGAAGAAAGATCAATGCCTTTGAGTTGTGGTGTTGGAGATGAGTTTTTGGGGTTTTGTTTTTGTTGTTGACTGTTGAATCAGATCTGACTAGCACAGGAGGAGATGGCTCCTAGGACCATCTGGTAGATTCGAACCTCATGTCTTCGGGTCTTGCCAGTAGGCCACCAGAGCTCCCTTGGAGAAGTGTTTTGGGTGCCCCATGAACTGCCAAAAAAAGAACAAACACATATGTCTTGGAGAAAGTGTAGGTAGAGTGCTGCTTGGAGGCAAAGATGGTGAAGCTTTGTCTTTACATACTTTTTTTAAAAAAAATGTTTTTATTATGATTTTAATGAAAGTTTACAGAAAATTTGGATTTTTATTCATTCATTGTTGCATATTTTCCTCCTTCCCTCCCCACTTTCATTTTTTAAAAATATGCATTCATTGTTGCACAAGTCTTACATACTTTGGACATGTTATTAAGAGAGTCTATTCCTTGGAAAATGACATCATGCTTGGAAAGGTAGAGAGTCAGTGAAAGAAAGGAAGACCCTCAATGAGAAGGATTGACACAGTGTCTGCAGTTACATGATCACCTATGTCACTGAGGATGGCACAGGATGGGACAGGGTCAGTTGTGGTGTTCATAGGGTCACTAGGAGTTGTACTCGAGACGATGGCACTTAACATCACTATTGTGCTTACTTGAGGTTAGACATTGATAAGACTTCCAAGTCCTCTTTCACAGTTACTTGAAAAAGTAATATTTCAATCTTCATTCTCAGAATTTCCAGAATCTTGTTAGGCAGCTTTTCCAGAAAAACCAGATGTTGTGTAACAAAGACAGATATGTTCTCATTTTTAGATAAGAATTCACCACTGTTATAAATCAGCTCTTACCTTTAGCCTAGATAACCTTGACATCCTTTGAATACCACTGTGCTTTGGCGGTTAGGACTTGGGATTTCTTTTTTTTGGGAAAAAGTAGACCTGTGAATGCAGACAAACTCCTCCTCTGCCAGAACTCCCCAGTACCCCCTGTATCAAGCCTGGCTGGCTTTTCACACTACATAGTACCTGTCTGCCCTGCAGTGTTCTGGAAGGGTCATTTGGACTGTTAATACAAGCAAAGAGAAAGACAATGCAAAAGGAGTATCAATATTTATATTAAATTCTGCGCGCCAGTTTCTTATCTGTCAAATAGGGGTAATAATAATTGCATCTCTGCCCAAGATTGTTATGAGAACGGAGCATGTACGTTTAGCACCTTAGCATGGTATAGAATATATATAATGTCACCACTGTCCTGCTGCTGCCCCAACAGCAGCGCTTTCCACTAGGACATTTTAGCAAGGCAAACACTGAGCGTGTGGGTGTGAGTACTCAGTAGTTTAGTTCAGCAATCTGCCCTGAAAGTACTCTGAAAGCCCCCGCTGTGAAAAGATTGTGTATCTGTTATGCACAATGCACCATTCCTGCCAGCAGACAGTTAAGTAAGTCATACTTGGTGCCGCCCGACATGGGCATGTAGGAGAGGTGGTTCCAGGGCCCCAGGGAGCTTCCTGTGGGCTTGGGGAGGCAGCAGGTACAGACTGAAGCCTGCAGGACTCTCTGGACCTTGGGCTCCTCATCTTTAGAGTTGAGTGTGTTGGGCCACACATCCAACAAAGGCCCCTGAGGACTTTAGGGGGTGCATCACAGTATTTGAACTTCAGCCACAGCATTTGGAATATCTGCTATTGACTGAATGCTTGTTCTCTGCTAAGCACTGTACACGGATTTTTATTTATTTTTTTTTACATTTAATCCATATGCTATATCTCGTCTTCATTTTGCAGGTAAAAAAGTTGGTTCAAAAGAGTGAAATGATTCATCCAAATCATACATCTGATTTTGGATGCCCTTCTGTCTAATCTGTAGACAGATTTGTAGGTGGACCAAGAGGAGGCAGCACTGTTGTTGGGTGGTAGAGGTGACGGAGGGCAGAGGGACAAGATCATGACCTCAGATTCCACGGTAACTCCAGGTCAGTGAAGCAAGGATGTGGCTGACAGGATCATCTTGAGTCAGAAGAGTTTGGGACGTAGAAATGACTCAGGTTAAACAAGACAAGTGCCTCAGTTCTTATTCCAGACCTTCCCTGGAATCCCAACTCACCATTTTTCTTACTCTAAGCCTCCGTTTATCTGTCCGTATGGGGCTAGGAAATGGCATACTCTTCAAGGGAATCTAGAAGAATTCACAGCCAAGCAGCCTCCAGCAATTTAGTTCTTGTGAAAGAGACTTTATTTGAACAACTGCTTGAAAGGATTGATAAAGCCCCTCTGAGCAGAGTGATAAAAGCTCCAATAACTTGCTTCCTCTTTCTGTCCACTTAGCTGATAACTTCTGAGAAGAAACTCAGACCCAAAGCGAACTTGCCACTGCCATATCTTTAATGACCATTAAGTAGAAGTGATATGGCCATTCCGTCCAACAGCAAATCCGTTAAAATGGAAGGCATTAGGAAAGAGGAATCCTGAAGTTCAAGTTTTCAGATCAGATAGGCTGTCCTGTTTTCACTCTCCTTCCAAACCATTTACAAAGTAGGCGGCACAGAAGCCTCATGGGAAAGCTACAGCTTTTTGCTTCCTTTGAAATGAAGAGTGCAGGCACTGCTGCGCAAAGCACCCTCCCAAAGGGGTTGTGTGTGAGAGCACACATCTCCCCCAGAGCAGTGGGCGGATGGGACTCACGGAACTGTGTGGTCCACAGTGCCCCCTGGTGGTGGTAAGTGGTCTGATGCTCCTTGTTCTGGAGAAAAGGGCTCTGGCCTACTTTATCCATCCTGTGGCCCAGTTTGCCTCTCACTGGGGAAGATTTATTTCTGCTCTGAACTAGCCCTGGCGTCAGTGACGCCCTACAGGCATCATAGTTTTGGAGCATCCACTCCTGGCCTCCTAATATCTGAAAGCTCAGAAATAGAGTGGGGAGATTCAGGGGGCTGCAAATGACCCTTGCTTTTGGGAATTCCAGGCTTGGCCTGTCCTAAGTGATTTACCATGGTGTTTGGAATGTGGTAAATTAAAATTGAGATATAATTGCAAAGGTTTCCAAGACTTGGTATAGACAAAAAAAGGATTACACACTTTCTTTTGTTTTTGTTTTTCATGTTGACTAAATAATGAAACGATATTTTGGGTTAAGTGAAATATGTTAAGATTAATATCACCTATTTATTTTTACTGTTTGCTGTAACTACCAGACAATTGAAATTGAAAATGTGACCTGCTTTTGATTTCTGTGAGAGAGTGTTGTTATGCATAGATGGCTTTTTGGGCCAAGAGCAGGGCCCCCCATGAGAGCAGGTTCTAGGCCTGCCCATGGGCCAACTCCAATAGCTAACCCAGGAGGAGAAGTGGAGTAGACTTGACCTTTTTTTTAAATTATTATTGCATTATTTTTATGTGTACCGTCAAATCAGATCTGACTGGTACAGGAGGAGATTGCCCCCTCCTTCTCCAGCAGAGCATCTTGTGGATTTGAACCGTGTACCTCTGGGATTGCAGTGCAGCGTCTTGCCACTAGGCCACCAGAGCTCCCTTAGACTTGACCTTTGTAATTCAATCTGACCCACTCCTGAAGACCCTCCCTTTCCAAAAACTCTTGGAAATCCCACTCTTTCAAAGTTATCACTTGGGGTTAGTTAGAACTTTTGAAAATACAGGGACCTTCCCCATGAATGATCCATCACCTAGACTGAGTATTCCGAGATCTCAGAATACCTTCATGGTAAGGAGGGGCTCCTCAAGGAAGTTGGTGGAGGGGAGAGAAGTGGAGGGAACTGCCCGACCAGTTGGCTGGCCCCTCCTCCATGCAGTCAGCTTTCTAACTGATGATCCTCTCTTGCAAGGTTGACCTCTGCTTCCTTCTTATCCTCTCTGGCCAATGTGATGGCCCCCTGGGGATTTGGAACCATATCAAAGCCTTGTTTGGTCTTTTGTTTTTGCCTTTGCTTTCTCTCTCCTTTCTGACTGAATAAACTGAGTTGAAAAGGCTGGCCTTCTATTGAAATATTCAAGCAAAATCTTATGTAAAGGGACCTTGGACAACTGAATATGGATTTAAGGTGCAGAATTTGTTCTGCGGTGCAGCTTGCTGCAGACAGTTTTATGAAAGAACTAACCACGAGCTCTGTGTGTCCGATGTAGTCAGTTTGTCAGGCCTTTAAGGGGACCCTGGTGATTCTTCTTTAGGGGTCTCGCTGTGGATTTTGGGCAGGCTCCTATAGGAGGTTCTTATGCCTAAAAGACAGTTTTCTTCCTATTAAACAATAAGATGCAAAAAAATGCTGTGTAAGTTCTTTCCCATATCTATTGAATATTTTCTGTATGTTATTGTTGTTATGTGCTATTGAGCCTCCTACAACTCGGAGCGACCCTATGTACAACAGCTCAGAACCCTGTCCTGAGCCAGTCTCAACTGACGCTGACATACCAACCTCCATTGCCCAGTTGCTGTGTCAGTTCATCTCGTCCAGGGTCTTCCTTTCTTATGTTGTTCCTCTACCCTTGTAAGCATGATGTCCTTCACCAAAGACTGGTCCCTCCTGGCCACATGCCCAAAGTATGTGAGATGGACCTTCAAAATCCTAGCCACCAAGGAGAAACTTGGTTTCAACCTCTCCAAGACAGACCTATTTGTTCTCCTGGCAGTCCTTGGTATGTTCAGGACTCTTCTCCATCACCACAATTCAAAGACATCAGTTCTTCTCTGTCATACTTAGTCATTGCCCTGCTCTCTGAAAAGAAAGAATTAATGGGGGTATGTCTAAGTTGGGGTTTACCACTCATGTAGCATTGTGTCCTAGACTTGAAATGCCTGACTGACTTTGTTTGATCGGCTGATTTGTTTTCTCTTGTAGGCGTTCGTAAATAGGAAAGAGGCCAAATTGACTTGGAGTTTTTTCAAACAATCTTTCTTGAAGCAGATTTTGACCGAAGGTAAGTAGAAGGGCAGGTTTCTCTGAGCAGACAGGAAATTGAGGTATAAACAGTCAGGTATAAACATGGAGATTTCACTGCTGCTGATCACCCAGGTTGAACCGCATGCAGTCCAGAGCTCCCCCTAGGCGGAGGAACCTCAGTCATTAGAGCTTTAGAAATAAAGGAGGGAAGCTGGCATTTATTTGGTTTTATGCTTTACTTACTGATGTTGTTTAGTCTAAATCTCTTCACAGCCTTGTAGGAAAGATTTAGCCCTTTTATTACAGGTGAGGAAACTGAGTGTCACTGAGGTTCTTGAGCTACTTCAGGCTCCTGCAGTGATGAGTAACAGCTTAATCCGAATCTAAGCCTAACCCCCAAGCCCCACAAGTCATTTTCGTAGATTTATTACACACACAGTCCTCACTTATAGGCATGATTAGGTTCCAGTGACTTGTTTGTGATGTGAAAACTCGCATTATGTGCAAATGGAGGATGACTACCTCAGGTGACAAAATGCAAGAGAAATGCGTCATTACACAAACTTCTGAGAGTCATGGTCCCAACAAGTTGACACATCACCTTAGCTTTTATTATTATCCAACTCACACTCATTAATGTGCAAAGTAATCGGATAGTAGATTTTTTACTATTGTTGTACATGCAAAACAGAACAAAGAAAGACTGCTTGGTTTTAAATCAGGAAAAGTATGTATCAGGGTTGTATCCTCTCTGTAGCTATTCAATCTGTACGCTGAGCAAGTCACTCGAGAAGCTGGACGATATAAAGGAGAATGGGACATCAGGAAGACTCATCAACAGCATGCATTATGCAGATGACACATCATTGTTTGCCGAAAGTGAGGAAGACTTGAAGCACTTACTGAAGAAGATAATAAACTAAACTACAGCCTTCAGTATGGATTACACGCTCAACATCAGGAAAATAAACATTCTCACCACTGGATTAATAGGCAACCAACCTCATGATAGACGGAGAAAAGACTGAAGCTGTCAGCGATTTCATTTTACTTGGATTCACAGTCAACACCCATTGATAGCAGCAGTTAGGAACTCAAAAAGCATGTTGCATTGGGAAAATCTACAGTCAGCGACCTCTCCAAAATGCAAAAGAGCAAGGATATCAGTTTAAAGAATAAGGTGCACCTGATCCAAGCCATGGTATTTTCATTTGCTTCGGGTACATCTAAAAATTGGGTAGTGAATAAAGAAGACCCAAAAAGAATTGATGCCTTTGAATTGTGGTGCTGGAGAAGATTATTGAAAACATCACAGACTGCCAAAAAAAAAAACCAACCCAAACAAGTCTGTCTTGAAGGAAGTGTAACCAGCATGCTCCTTAGAGGCAAGGATAGCCAAGGTTTGTCTCACATACTTTGGGTATATTATCAGGAAGGGCCAGTACTGGGGGGAAAAAAGACATCATAATGGGGAAAGGCAGAGGGTTGGCCAAGGAAAGGATGATCTTCAGCAAGATGGATTGAGACAGTGATGCCAACAATGAACTCAAACATGTCAGGGATCACAAGCGTGTGTAGAATAGGAGAGGGTTCAGATCTGTTGTTCTTAGGGTCTCTGTGAGCTGTTGTAGACTTGACAAGCACCTAACAAAGACAACAGCATCATAACTTCTTGATATTAGAAGTTCCTCTTTCTTTTCCTTTTTAAATTGTGATTTGAGTGAAAAGTTTACAAAGTCTTTTCCAGCCAACCATTCATAACATCTTGTTTAATGACAGACTGCCTACAATATTCACATTATAGCTGCACTGTTCCCACTTTGTCCCTTTGATTCGTGTTTCTATCCTGGCCCCCTAAGTGGAGAAAGGATGTTGAGAAGGGGCCTGGTGCTGGCCAACCCCTTGGGTCCTCCCTCTCCTCAGCTGTGGGATAAGTAGCCTGACCTGGGATGCCTAGGTTCTTTTTTGTTTTTCCCTTTTAAAACCACAGTTCTGAAAAGGTTGAAATAATTCTTTGTAGTAGCAAAAGCGTAATAAGCCATTACCCATCTGCCCCACATTTACTGAACACAGTGTGCCAGGAGTTGAGAATACAGGGTTGAATGAGTAACAGGCCTTGGCCTCAGTGAGCTTACTCTCTCTCTCAAGATGCATACTGATGTGTGGTTATCTCTGCTACATGGCCATGAGAGCTGTGCTCAGAAATTGAACCCTTCACCAAATGCCTCTTAAATACTCTTGGTTTCCAGGGCCTTACACTATCTGAGAAAGATAGGCTGTTATGCCAGAAGGCAAGGAAGTCCCTGTAGAAAAATTATTCCAGCAATGAGAAGACAAGAATCCATACCCGAGAGCATTGCTGGTTTACTCACCCAGTCTGACTCAAGAGCTGCTGGAGACACTAAGTCTGGGAGAGCGCAGGGCAGGATGACAATGTGATGGTGAAAGGAAGCCAAAAAGAGAGCTTGGGGTTGGTTTACGTTACTGAGTGCTGTCGAGTCAATTCTCATTCATAGAGACTCCATGTAACAGAGGAGAATTGCATTGTAGGATTTTCTGGGCTGTAATCTTTGTGGGAGACAATTGTTGTTGTTAAGTGCCGTCGAGATGTAAGCAATTCATAGTGACCCAATGAACAAAAGACCTGAACACTTGTATAATTTCCATTGTTTCTCCAAGTTCATAGAGTTTCTGGAGGCAAGCTGTTTCGGAAGTGGATGCCACTCCTGCCTCCAAGGAAGACAGTTACCAGGCCTTTTTCCAATAAAGCTTTTGAGTGGGTGTGACCCACAAATGCTTTCAATTATCAACTGAGCTCTTAACTGCTCACCACCCAAAACTAGCAAAAAACCCCAAACTAAACCCACTGCCCTCAAATTAGTTTCAATTTATAGGGACCCTTTAGGACAGAACAGAGCTGCCCCATTGGGCTTTGAAGGCTGGAATCTTACATAAACCCGATGACGGTCTTGAACCTCTATTCTTTTTGTTTAGCTTCCAAGTGTTTAACCACTGTGCCACCAAGGGTCCTCTGTTCACCATCTATACTCCTCGAATACAGAATTAAGCAGCCTGGACTTTTTGCAGATGTTGAGAGCTGGATCATTGAAAGATGTGAAAGCAGAAGTTAAAGTAATCAGATCAGTATTTGCCAAAAACAGACCTGAGCAGTCAAGATGGCCCAGAAGGGTGAGCACGGAGCTACAGGTGGGGCTTATTCACAGTAGAGTCAAAGGCTGAGGAGATAGCTGAAAGAAGAGATTATCTCTGTGCCTAGGCTCTTCATGCTTTCCTTCCACTGAAATGACCGAGCAAGTCACTGTTCTCGTTGTTAGTTACCTCCAGGTGGACTCTGGCTCGTATTGACCCCATTATGTACCCCAGATCAAAACCCTGCCCAGGCCTGCACCATCCTCATAGACTCTCTTGTTTAAGCCTACTGTTGCTGTCATATCGTTAAGGGTCTTCCTTTCCTTACTCTACTTTGCCAAGCCTGATTCCCTTTTTCCAGGACTGGTCTCCTTTGATAACAGGCCCAAAGCATGTGAGGTGATTTCTCAGCATCCTTGCCTCTAAATAAATCACTGCTATTGTTTGCACTGAGATGAACCAAACTCTAGCTGACCCACCAGTGGATTTTCAGAGACAGTTAATCTCACGGGAGAAGTTTGCCTATCCTTCTCCAAAAAGAGCTGTTGGCAAATTCAAACTGTGTGCCTTCAGGTTTGTAGCACAGCTTCTTAACCACGAGGCCGCCGGAGCTCCCTAAATAAGTCACTAGAAGGTGAGAATTTACCCTGTAGAATAGGTAAGATTCTATCTTCATAGTGGCCTATACTTTTCACTCATGAATAATACAATATTTTGTAGACACCAGCAGGGGTGGAGTTCTGGGCTCGAAGGCATTGACTATGTGAACTTGGGTTCCAGAGCTTTGCCAGCCTCTGGAGAAATGCCAGCACCCCAGGAGAACCCTTTTGATGAGCGTTTGTACAGAAACAGGTCTCTTTCATATCATAGAATTTATACTCACACTATTTGATCTCCCTTGTAACTTACTACTGGAAATCAACAGTGAGATAAGGAATATGTCTTTTAACAGATTATTTCAAATTTTTTCCTCCTTTGAAAATATTTGTGTATTGGAAATGTTGATACATGGTAAGATAAAAAGAAACAAATTAATGTGCATTTGAATGATTAACTATTTGCTTTTTCACTTACAGGAGAGCGATATGTGATGACGTTTTTGAATGTGTTAAATTTCGGGGATCAGGGTAAGTTGAGATTCTGTAATGTTTTAACAAAAGGTTGATACTATTAGTAGATATTTCCTACTACTTTATAGTTTGATATATTTAATAAAAATTAATTTTTCAGTTCCTGCTGTTTTTTAACTGGAGGTCTTTGTAAATATATACAGATTATTGACTATGGTTTCTAATGTAATGAGTTCTCTACTGCCCTCTACTTCCTACAGACTCTGATGGAGAACTCTTAGAGAGGTGGGAGCTGCTAACATCTAGCACAAAGTAAAAAGTAGTTAAGTCAGTCCCCTTTGCCTCCTTTTTCCCCCCTTACCTCCACCACCCACCACACACCCCTCTCTAACTCATTGCCATCAAATTGGAACTGACTAATAGCTGACCCTCCACTTGGTATCCAAAGCTGTAAATCATGCAGGATTGCCCACTTTTTTCCCATGGAGCAGCTAGTGGATTTGAACTGCCAGAGAGGCAGTGCTTTGGGGTTAGCAGCACAGCTCTGTACAGACTACATCATCAGAGCTCCGTAATTTTTTAGATAAGTGTGTATGTAGATAGATAGATAGATAGATAGATAGATAGATAGATAGATAGATAGATAGATGTTGTTGTTTTGTGCTGTCGAGTCGTAGACGACTCATAGCAACCCTATGAACGAACAGCCTGAGCACTGTTCGTACATAGAGTTTCCGGAGGCAAGCCGTTTCAGAAGTGGATGCCACTCCTGCTTCCAGGCTTGATTTAGTCGGGAAGCTCCAGCCAACACTGTCCACCATGGATACCCATTACCACGATCGGCACATCACTGTCACAGTCTTCAGCATCACAGCAACCACGAGTTACCTCTGTACAGCAACGCCTTAAGGCCACCTCCTGGCTCAAACCCTAGGCCCAGGCTGGCTAGCCTCACTCCCAGGGACAGAGCAAACCTACACGTAACAAACACATGCCCAGAAAAGCAGCCGACTCCAAAAACTTGCCATGATTCCTGCACTCACACCACCATGCTCCTTCTGGCAAGGAGAACTTCCAAAGACCCTGGGAGGAGCCAACCAGAACAACATGGCTACTCCCTCTCCCAGCTCCTTAAAATATATATATAAAAAAACCTCATTGTTTTCGAGTTGGAACCAACTCATAAATGACCTTATAGTGAGTTTTCAGAGGCTGTAAATCACACGGGAGGAGATTGCCCATCTGAGTCGCAAGCAACTTGACGGCACATAACGACAACAACAACATATATATATACTTATATTCGTATAAGTGTTGTTGTCGTTATGTGCCGTCAAGTCGCTTGTGACTCATAGTGACCCTATGCTCAATAGCTTTGTCCTGAGCCAATCTGTCTCCAACATACCTGCCCCTATTACTCCAGTCACTATGTCTTTTCACGTCATCTGGGATCTTTCTCTCCTGTGCTCTCCCTCCATCCTTCCAAACATGATGTCTTTCTCCAAAGACTGGCCCCTTCTCGCAACATGCCTAAGGTATGTAAGACAGAAATTCTTGCCCCTATAGAGCAAGTTGGTTTCACCCTCTCCAGGACATATATGCATATAAATATATACAAAATAAATAATTATATAAATAAATGTAAAGTTTGCTTGCTTTGTTTTTGTTGTGGGGAATATACACAGCCAGACATACACCAATTTAGCATTTTTTTAAAAACTGTTTTCTCCCTCATCTGTTTTAATTTAATACATTATTGAACCTATTAATTCAGCATTTTTTAAAATATCCAGTTCAGTGACACTGATGACTTTGAGTTCTAGAACCATTCTCACCCTCCTTTTCTGAGTCGTCCCTCCCACCCTGACATCAACTCTGCCCCTTAATGTGTCTATCTAATCTTTCAAGTTGCTGTTGTCAGTCTGATCCCCTATCACTCACGCCTCCATTGTTGTTGAGTTGGAACCAACTTGTAACTGACGTCCATTGAGTCTCTGTGGCTGTGAACTCAGGAGAGGAGACTGCCCACTTTTTTCCCTCAGAGCCGCTGTTGAATTCAACCTGCCAGAGAGGTACAACCTTTGGTTTAGCAACCCAGTTGCTTAAGGACTGCGCCACCAGATCTCCATAACACTCAAAATCACTCTTGTTGAGTGAGTTCTAACTCACCGTCGCCCTCCATCAGGCAGCGGGAGAAGACTGCCCGTCCTTCTGAGGAGTTGGCAGATTCACACAGACAGAGACACGAGTAGGGTGGGTTAGCGGTGCAGCCTGTTGCCGTCTGCGCCACCAGAGCACCCTTGATTCCAGTTAGATAGTTCTTAAAAAAGCATAATGCTCAAAGCAGACTTTCTTTCTCATTAAGATTGCTTTATCTTAAAAAAAAAAGATTGCTTTATCTTTATTTTTAATATAATCCCAAAGTAATAGAAGTAAAAATAGGAAAAGTTAACTTTGCATTAATAAGCTTCATGGGAATTGCTGTGGATTCCTGAGGTGAGAGAAATGTTCTGTCTCTTGACTGTATCAATGCCAGGATCCTGGTTGAGTTACTGTGGTTTTATAAGATGTTACCATTTGGGAAAACTAGATCATGGGTACATGGGACCCCTCTTATAATAATTTCTTACAACTGCATGTGAATACACAATTAAAAGTAAACATTTCATCAGGAAATAAAATTTTAGTGAGGTTGTGTGCCTTTGAGTTAGAACCAACCCATAGTTGACCCTCCAGCAGGTTTTCAGAGGAACTAAATCACACAGGAGAGTTCCCATCCTTCAACAGAGCAGCTGGTGGCTTTGAACTGTGTGCCTTTGGGATTGCAGCAATGCTTCTTACCCTAGGCCATCAGGGCTCAAATTCTAATGTTGTTGTGAAAATTGGAATAGAAAACCCAGTATAACTATATTTTTCTCCTTTTGTGTTTCCTAGGTGTATATGATATAGTGAATAATCTTGGTTCCCTTGTGGCCAGACTGATATTCCAGCCAATAGAGGAGAGTTTCTACATATTCTTTGCTAAGGTGCTGGAGAGGGAGAAGGGCGCCACACATCAGAAGCAGGTAATTTTGGTTTCTGTGTCACTCCCCCAGGTAGTCCTCTCTCTCATTGAAAGATAGCGATGTGGAGGCATCTTTTCCCCTTCCTTTTGAGTTGACATCTTCTAGATTTCAGTCTTCTGTGATGTTCTGAGTGGTGGCTGGTCCTTGGGCTCATTTCTGCCGTGACCTTTCTTTACTTCCCAGCTGGACCTTCCTCTCACCCCTGACTTTCCTTGTGACCTTATTTTTAATCCAACCTTCAGAACTCCCTCAGACAAGTGTGCTCTTATGGCTATGGCAGTGCTCTGGTGAGGTGCGAATCACCTTTCCATTTACCTGTAAGAATACAGTTCTACCCCACATCTTCAGATTCTCAGGAACCTTCTAGATAAGCCTGGAGCACTTGGAAAAGGGCTGGCCTGGGGCACAGGAGGAAAGGGTGTGGTCATGTGAATTCACACACCACCCCCACTGTGTATCTCCAGGACTGTCCAAATCACCGATTGGTTGATAAACACAGGGCGAGGGATTTGGGTCCAGGAAGGTTTGGTTGTAGAATCTTCACTTTTTCTAGAGCCGTTGACAGTGTCCTGCATCTCAGAATTAAAAGCTAGATTGGCCTCTTTCATATCTTAGGAGACATTTTACAAAAAAACAGCTTATGCAGAATTTCTCAAACTAGTATAGCGCTCAACCTAATTTAGAAATATCTTCTGAAATGTGCACTGATGGTAACATCAGAATGTTGAAATTTGTCAGGAGAAGCTCTGTGGCAGAGCTGGCTAGAACATACATTGAAACTTGATACCCTGTTAGGAATATCAGGAAAAAGAGAGTGCTTCTTAACCAACGTTTGAAATAATTTCTTCCAAATGAGTTGAAATCCAAGCCCCACCTATCTTCTTCCAGAAGCACATACTGTCTTCTTTCCATTGGCTAAGAGGTGGAGACAAACAGAAGATACAAAAGCAGTGACACCCCTCTAGCAGCTGAACGAGGGGTCTGTAAGACAGCCAGGAAGAGGGGAGTTTTCTTTCAGCCCGTGGCTCATCCAGCTTCCCTCCCTCTCCCCTGGCCCAGGAGGACGTTGCTGTGGCCGCCATGGTTTTGGAGTCCCTGCTCAAGCTGGCCCTGCTGGCCGGCCTGACCATCACCGTGTTTGGCTTTGCCTATTCCCAGCTGGCTTTGGATATCTACGGAGGCGCCATGCTTAGCTCAGGATCAGGTACACCTAAGACTTTTGATGCGTTTGTTCCGATTTCTGAACAGAAATAGGCGAGTCTTTTGAAATTAAAGAACTTCGACACATACAAGTTGAGGTCTGTGTCGAAAGAGGGAGAATGGCCTGGTGGACAGGGCCCTGAGGCTGCTTCCGCCCACACAAGGTCATACAAATGGCAGAGGCTTTTGCACCAGCCCAGGCACTTCCTCAGCCTCTCTTGGAGGAGATATTAAGACTCTGCTCTGCCTTTGGCTTTCTTCCTTAAAGTCTAAATGTGTTTTGTCAACTCTTTCCCTTTGCTCCCTCTGGGGTGAAAGAGAAGGCAGAGAACAGACTCTAATGAGCCTCTACTTGATACTAAACACATCTGAAGTCAGTGTCACATAAATCTCATAGCCTGATGCATAACAGCCTTTAAAGAATAGCCCAGAATTATTTGCAGAGAATAAAATTGATCTAGGCAAATAAAATGTAAGTTTGCTTTAGTGTCTCTCAGTTTGAAAGAGAAACGTCCTGTGTGTGTCTGACTTTGAAGCACCTGATGCTCTCACCACTGAGCATTTATTTTATAACATTTGTTCATCTCCTGGCTCAGAATCCAGGCTTTGGGAGTGTCACCACTTTGAAATTGTACGGGACCATTGGCTCCCAGTCTGTGTTCAGTGTTTCGTCATGGGTCCCAGAAAGTTACTCTCAAGTCCTCAAGTCACTGGGACAGGAACCCTGGAGATGTCTTTCTCTTGCTCCGTGTCAATGTCAAATGCAGCTTTACAAGTTCCTGGGCATGTTTCTTCTCCATTATAATAGGACCCAAACTTCTGCTCTTAGAGGGAGAAGAGCCAATATTCTGCGCTAGAGCAAAGTCTGTTAGTTTAAAGAGACAACTGCAGTGAGACCAGTAGAGAAGTTTGCATCTCCCTGGGGTTTGCTGTCAGGAGCTCTGGTGGCGCAGTGGATAAAGTGTTCAGCTACTAGCTGAAAGGTCTGTTGCTTGAACCCACCAGCTTTCCCCCAGGAGAATCATGAAGCAGTCTGCTTTTGGAAAGATTATGGCTTTAGAAGCCTGTGGGGAAGTTCTGCCCTTTCCGACATGGTCATTATGAGTTGGGATCAACTCTACTGGCAGTAAGTTTTTTGTGGGATTTAGAGTTTGCTTTGAGAAGTATATTTGGATCAGACAACTTAGGAAGACCTCATTAAGAAGCCATTATTAAGTGCTTGTTTAACCATTTTGTAGTAACTGTACCCCAGTAGAAAGATAGTCACCAAAGAACGGCCTTTATTGTAACATCACAGGACAGTATCTGGAGAGAAGACTGTTTCCTAGTTAGAAAACTTGCTTGTATAAGTAATAATCATAGACATAATTAATCCGTTAGAGTAATTATATAATTGTGAATGTAAGTTTTTGGTATCTTAAGTATTGATAATAAGCTCATCAATTTAAAAGCCAATGTGAATTGAATTCTAAGGTAATATAGTCTGTCCCTAATGATTTAAAGATGACACAACCTTGCTTTCTGAAAGTGAGGAGGACTTGAAGCACTTGTTACAGAAGATTAAGGAAGGCAGCCTTCTGTATGGATTGCATCTCAATGTCAAGAAAAAGATTTTTTTTAAAAAAAAAATTTTATTATTTTGTTTGTGTGTGTGTGTACCGTCAAATCGGATCTGACTGGTACAGGAGGAGACGGCCCCTCCTTCTCTGGCAGAGCATCTGGTGGATTCGAACCACATATCTCTGGGATTGCAGTGCAGCTTCTTGCCACTAGGCCACCAGGGCTCCCCAAGAAAAAGATTCTTAACACTGGACTGATGGGCAACATCGTGATGAACAGAGAAGAGATTGAAACTGTAAACAATTTCATCTTGCTTGGGTCCACAATTAAACACCCTAAGTGCCAGCAGTTAGAAAATAAGGAGACACATTGTACTTGGAAAATCTTTAGTTAGAGACTGCTCCATATTATTAAGGAGCAGTGATGTCAGTTTGAGGACTAAGGTGTGTCTGATTCAGGCCATGGTCTTTTTGATTACTTGCTATGCATCTGAAAGCTGTACAATGAGTAAGGATGATAGAAAAAGAATTGATGTCTTTGAGCTGTGGTGTTGGAGAAGAGTACTGAACATCCCATGGACAGCCAAGAAAATGAACAAATATGTTGGAGAGGGTGAAGCCAGAGTGCTCTTTGGAGGCAAGAATGATGAGGCTTTGCCTCACATACTTTGTGCATGTTATGAGGTGGGACTATTCCTTGGAGAGAGACATGATGCTGGGAAGGGCAGGATCAAAGGCGGGAAGAACATCAACCAGGTGGATTGACACGGTGACTGCCACAATGGGCTCTGATGTATCAGGAAGTGTCAGGATGGCACAGGTTGGGACAGCGTTCAGATCTGTTGTTCATAGGGTCGCTATGAGTCGTACTAGACAGCACCTAATGATAGCAACAATAGTTTAATGTCAGACTTATTAATTTTAGACTCTCTAAGTTTCATCTTTAGAGAAAAAACAGAGTCTTAGAAATTACTCCAGATCTCAGTGTCTTAAGTTGTGTGCTGGGTACGTCACTGGGTATGTCTATAGGACTGTTGTTAGTGGCCTGTCCCGGAGTCCCATCAGTGTTGCTAACAGCCCCAGCACAGTCCTTTAGCATTTGTGTTCCCGCTGTGACTGCTGCTCATTCTACCCAGACTTCTAGGTCTCTGTAGTGAGTGGCCCATGGTTCTTGGACAGCTCAGTGCCTCTCTCATGCTGCCCAGTGGCTTTCCTTCCCAATGTCCATGCCACCCCTCGTCATCTTCTCGCCCCACTCCTGGTTCTTGAGACTACTGCTGTGGGTCTGTGTGCCTTTCCTGTACCAGACAGTATTAGCATTGCTACTCCAGTCTGTGAACCTTTTTTCATAACTTAAATACCCTGTAAAACTTCAGTTTCTTTAGAAAGTGTGCGTGGCTTAATCAGAAAAGAACAACTGCTCGCTGTGGCTCAGCCCCACCTCATCTTTGAAAGTGGAATTTGCAGTACTGCTGTCCTCATTTTCCCCCAGTGCATGCTTTATGAATTTTTGGTAAAAGCCAAAAATTTTTTAAATCTGCCTTTCAAGTTGTTGAGGCATTAGAAACCGACAGTGGATCTCATTTTAGAGACCTAGTTGTATCAGGACAAGTTTCTTAGCACAAATAAAAGACTAAGAACAAAGTTATAAAACATGTTAGGCGAGTAGAGTTATGAGCAAATTAGAACTTCAGAACATAGAGGTTTAACCTGTTTTCCAATCTACTGTAACTTCATACAAATTTGAGAACTCAGATGAAAAAATATTTTACTTACATGTGGCAAAAAAAAAAATGACAAGGTTTTCACTCACAAAGGGTGGTGACATTCGATAGTATTCCAGAGTTCCTGAAATGTCCCCCAGTGTGTGATGCTCCTTGTCCTCTTGGAGTGGATTTACCTGTAACCTGTGTGGTCCTCTTAGCTCCTCTGTCCTCTCTGCTGACCGTGCCCATGAACTTGCACATTCTGTAGACAAACTGTTGTGCTGGGCTGTGGTTTTCCTTCGTACTGCATTAGGATTATGTGTAATCGGGCTTTGTAAGTGAGAGACCTTTCTCACATTAATTTTAGCCATTTAAAAAAATTATTGTATTATTATTTTTTTTGTGTGTACCATCAAATCAGATCTTACTGATACAGGAGTAGATTGTTCCTCCTTCTCCAGCAGAGCATCTGGTGGATTCGAACCGTATACCTCTGAGATTGAAGTGCAGCTTCTTGCCACTAGGCCACCAGAGCTCACCTTAACCATTTTTAAGATCACTGAACTTCACTATGAGATATCGATCCCACTTTTTTTTTAAGTTGCTGTTGGTTTTATTGTGATCTGAGTGGAAGTTTGCGAAACATATGGGTTTTTCATTTGGTCATTCAAACACTGCTTTGTAACATTCATCTCCTTCTTGTATATTGCCTTACCTTTTCTCTTCTTGATCTTTAAGGAACTTTTCTCTTGCTCTTTTTCTTTATGTTTCAAAACCTTTGTTCTTCTTGAGACCCTCAATTCAATCCATAGTTAAAGGTTCCATCCTTAAATTTCCCTATTTCAACTTCTTTCTCCCAAGTGCACTCAAAACCCTCTATATGAACCACTATTTCATGTTAGACTTTGTTCTCCACACCTAAAAGCAATTCACTGTCCACCATCATCACATGGCCTGACAGCTGTTAGCTGTCACTTACCAGGTGAGATATGCACATGAGAGGAACTTGGGTCATTTTCCACTTCTGCCAGAGAGGGCAGGGGACTGAGAGAGGCAGGAGGCCCACTGAGCTGTAGGGGCAGAGCCTGATCTCACTTTGCCTCCTTCCCCAGTGTCTTCCTTCCCTCCCGTGTGGCTGGGAGCCGGGCTGCTTTCTGCAGTAGCCTAAGCAGCTGGAATGAATGCAGCATGCTAAAATGTGGAATCCATGAGAAGGCCGCAGAAAATGCTTATTTGTTCTGCATCAGGTCTGTTCTATCCTGTTCGTATTCATTTTGTAATTTTGTGACTCCATAAAACTATGTGGGTTCTCATGACACAGAATCTTGGACATATTAAACCGCTTTGATGAATCATAAATGGGTTCTGGATTCTGAGTCTGGCACTCCAGTCCTTCCTTTTAAAGTGATTAAGGTTGGTTTTGATTTTTCTTTGTTGTTGTTGGGTGCTCTCAAATTTGTGCTGACTCATAGTGACCCTGTGTACAGCACAAGTAAACAGGGCTCTTTTTTTGTCTTCATTCGGGTATAATTTATATAAAGTCATGGGCTGTGCTCTTCGGTCCAGTTTCATGAGTTTTGACAAATGTGCACACCTGTGACTCAGCTTCACCCCAAGTGGCAAATCAGAGGCAAGCACAAGTCTAACTTTTGTCACTATATGTTACTTTTTGTTTCTTTTTTTTTAAAATTCACTTAAATGACATTATCTAGCATATTCTATGCATTTTTATTTGGCTGCTTTCCCTCAGTGTTTCTGAAACTTACCCATGCCCCTGCATAGGTTATTAGTTGCTTCTCTTCTGTTGTTGGTATGCATTTTGGTGTGGATGGACCATAACACGCTCATCTCTTCTCTTCATAGAGAGTTTTGGCAATTATGAAGAAAGCTGCTGTATGTGGTTTTTGTACACATGTTTTGGGGATTATATATGTTCATTTCCCACGTATGTGGAGGAGTGAGATTGCTGCACCGTAGACCAGATGCATGCTAATTTTATTAGACATACTGCCTCTTGATAATGGCCCTCTTAATCCCATTTTGAGGACTCTGATTCTTTTCCTTGTAGCCTTTCCAAAACATGTTCATTAGCTATAAAAGAGCATTTCTGTGTTTTAAGGGAGGAAAATAACCCAGTGGTCTCTGCCTCTCACTGCAAATTGGTGCAAGTTCGTTATGTCCCTGTAGTTTCCATTGGCCCTAAGCTTTTCCCCCAAGGCCTTCAGGATCTGTTCAGCCAAATTCTCTTAACACACGCAGCCACTAATGGCTTTCAGCATTCAAACCAGCAGGTTGAAAAACAAGAAGATTTGCTCACTGGCCAGATAAGCTTTGAGTTGTTAAACAAGAGACGTGAACATGGATTCATCATTGTCCTTTTGTTTTCAGATGTTTATTTTATAGTCAGTGGCCTGGAATGCTGAGGCACTGTCTAGATAATTAAGACCATAAGTGCAAGTGTGCGATTGCCCGCTGATGGTACCAGGAAGGCTGAAGCCTGAGTTCTGGGTTCTCTGAGCACACAGCAGAGCCCAGGGGAGGTTGAGACCTTCCTTTTGGGCTCTGGAGTCTTGGTGGATTGTTTCCTTTCAGGTCCTCTTTTGCTGCGTTCCTACTGTCTCTACGTCCTTCTGCTTGCCATCAACGGAGTGACCGAGTGTTTCACGTTTGCTGCCATGAGCAAAGAAGAGGTCGACAGGTACGTAACCTAGAAGGTACACCTCTAATTACAGCCTTCACACAAAATAAAACAACTTGCCAAACTTATTTCTGTTCTCTCTGAGCGTGCTTTTACAGATGGCTTAGCCAGTGACCTTAACCTTCACTAGAGGTCTAGACCCATGGACCCTGTTAGAATATTCCACGGCGCTTTCTTCCCCCACTGTTTGGAATCAGCAGGGACCCCCATGGACACATGTATATGCTTTCCCAACCTTGGTGATTCTGAGGTGAACTCCTGGTTAAGAGCCTCTGTCTCACACCTAGGACTATCTGCTTCTTATGTTCCAAAAGTAAAAAAGCAGCCCGGCAGTGACTTAGGGCGTCACTGTGGGATGAATTTATGGAGTGAGGTAGAAATGTGGAGAGAGGAAAGTAGAAAAGAGTGTCGAGAGGGTGCTGGTGGGTGATGAGCGAGCGGCTGGTCATTCTGATGCCCCGTGAGTGCTGGGTCCCCTGCATCTGCAATGTCTTGAGAGCTATTGTGACCATTCAGAAGCCTTGTGGTGGGTGGGACAGGAAAGCAGGAGCTCAAAGTGTCAGGAAACTCGTCCTCTCCTCAGGGAAGGCTCTGCATCCCATTGGGAGCTGGCTCACACAGAACTTTGTGACTGCTACCCAGAGACTGAGGACTAGTGTCTATGTCTGTAGTCCCAGCCCAACTGGTCAGATTAGACGTGCATATGTGTGTGTGTGTGTGAGAGAGAGAGAGAGAGACAAAATTTTTAAAAGGGCAGGGGGAGGCTGTGTCTAACATTGAATGATTATTTTAATACAATAGAACATTGTGGAAAGATGTCAGGACTAGGAATTTATTCCTTTAAAAGGACTTTTATTACAGTAACTTCAACATTACTATTGAGATCTCCCTCTACCCACTGAAAAGTCAAAACCCCACTCACTGAAAATATTTAAAAGTATTTTTAATAACCAAATTACCAGGAGTATAGACACTGGCTAGTTGCTTTCTTTCCTCCTCTGTTACATTGAACCAAAGGAAAGAACATTTTAAGACCATTGTAATGGAATTTTGACAATATATAAACATCTGGAAAATTATTTCCAGGGTATTAGTCAACATAGAGAAAAAACAGAGCATCTTCTAATGCAATTCTCATCTGGGGTAATCACTTCCCCTAAGATTAAAATGCAGCTTTAAGCACAGTCTTCAGACACACATTAAACATACCAGCCCAGCTTCTGTCTGGTTTTGCTCTGAGCACGTGGAGCCCCTGAACTCATCACACACTCTGAGAATTTCAGCAGGCATAAACATTCTAGTAAAGGCTTTTATTACAGAATTTGGTAGTTTAGTTAAAGGTTATAATTTCACATTGGACATTTCAGATTCTGAATAAAAATAAAACATTGATAAGATCATGGGCTTTTTACCAAATCGAATTCTAGTTAGTGGGTTGGTTTTTTTAATTTACCTACTAAATAAAAGTAGGCATTTGGTTAGATACTAAGTATAAGAACTTACTTTGATTTGCAATCTGGCTCTGTCCTTTTTTAATAACCTTGTGATCAGTGTAGTTAGGATGTGATTGCAGTACTTTTGCCCTACTGAAAAATTTTTTTATTGTTGTCTTAAGGACTTCCCATCCTTTGATCTCTCAACAAATATGTTTTGAGCACCTACTCACTAACAGGCATTATTTTAAACTCAGGGAAGAAAGCAGTGAACCAGACAGACTCTGCTGTTTTGGAGCTGATGTTCTAGTGGGGGAAGCAGATAGAGAGCTAGTCAATAGACACAGCATTGGCATGGTGTGCAGAGAACTGAGACAAGGTTAAGCGACGAGAGTGGAAGCCTCTTTATCTGGAATAATCCAAGCAGTCCCTCTGAGGAAATGACATGTAGATGAAGTCTGTATAATCAGGAAGTGTTCATCATGAAAAGAATGTAGTAATGCAAAGGCCCAAGACTGACAGTGTCTTTGTCTCAATTATTGGCCTTTGAGTACCCAGAACAGAGTTGGACCCCATGACTGTTCACTGAAGGATGACTGTCATCTTTTCATGTTACCACAAAACAACTCTGGGCCCTCCTTTTCAGGGACTGCAGAGATGGCACGATGCACTGTGCCCGGATGTAGTTCACCAGCACACACAGCACGGTGACAGGGTCGTTGCTGCAGTGGACAGCCTTGACCATCCAGGGTTGTCTTGGGGGCGTGTAGAAATAAGCATTCATGAATAATTTACTATTCATGTTAATAAAACCTTATGGTATTGTGATTATTATCATGGCTTAGTCATTTTTCATCACTTCTTGTTGTTAGAGGCCATCGGGTTGAGTAGAACTCCTAGTAACCCGGTGAACCACAGTCTGAACCCTGGTGGTTTAAGTGCATCTTTTAAATGCTTATTCTTTTTTCCCCCTACAGTAGATCATACCTCTGTAAGGTTGTGTGTGTGTCTGGGCAGTTCAGCTTCTGCAGAGCCCGCTGGCGTTGGAGGACAGCTGGCCTCATCATGATCAGCTCCTCCCAAGTGACCAGATCAAAGAGAGTAAAGAGACTGTGCTGCTGGACTTGTCCCTGTTTGAGTGAGCGTGCAGTTTTATTCACTGTTGCCGTTTCCCTTGGAGTTGACTGAGGATGACTTCAGGAGTATATGAATCTATGACTTTAAAATGACTTTAACTCAGAGGACAGTAACATTTACATATTATCCTTATAATGTATTTTTTTAGCATGTAATGCACCCACGTGAGTCACACACGTCCACATACACTATAGCACATGTGAGATACTAGTGTGCAAAAGGGTTGTTCAGTGTGCAGAAACATCTGCCTAACAGTAAGGTAGCTCTCAACTGTATTGAAGCCAGCTAGACTATAGGACCTCTGAGGTTCTTTTCTGAATTGATGTGCAAAGTCACTTGAAAAATTTTTTTTCTTATGGCAGTGCTCTCTCGGGACCATGTGCTCCCTCACCCACTGTACTGCTGTGCTTGTCTCCCCCTCCCCAGGTATAATTTCACAATGCTGGCCCTATCCTCGTCTTTCCTGGTGGTCTCCTATCTCCTGACCCGCTGGTTTGGCAGTGTGGGCTTCATCCTGGCCAACTGCTTTAACATGGGCATTCGGATCACACAGAGCCTCTGCTTCATCCACCGCTACTACCAAGAAAGCCCCCACAGGCCCCTGGCTGGCCTGTACCCATCGCCCCTCCTCCTCGGTGCCTTTGCCCTCAGTGGTGGGATCACTGGTGTTTCAGAGGTGAGACTCCCACAACACCCACACCACATGCATTCACGGCTGGCCCGATCCCTGTCTCTAGGCTCGCCCCTTCCCTTCCCTTCCCCAAATCTCATGATAGATCCTGTGATCAGCTGAGCATCTGCCTTCCCTGACCTGCCCCAGCTGCAGGATGTGTGTGGAGGAGCCAGGGCACAGCTGGAGACCCAGGTGGTGACAGGAGCTTCTTTTTCAGGTGTTCTTCTGCTGTGAACATGGCTGGCCCGCCAGGCTGGCACATGTCACTGTGGGCGCCGTCTGTCTGGGAGTGACGCTTGGGATAGCCTTCTTCACGGAGACCAAACTGATCCACTTTCTCAGGACTCAGTTCGGTGTATCCAGGCCCACCAACAAAGCAGTGTGATCTCGAGGATGCGTCAATGCCTGTGGGGCCTGCACCACTGTGGGCACTGTTGTGGGAAGAACAGCTTGTTTGCCCCAAAGAGCCCTGCTGAGCGGTCTGTATGGAGTGAGACTATCCTAGCCAGGGGAGACATCAGAGGGAACCGCTGGCTGAATAATCCTTACTGTCCACTTAAAGTCTCAAACATGAGTAAGGATTTTTATTTTGACATTAAGAGCAAAAGACAATTTAAAAGAGAGAATAATTTTTTATTAATGTTTTTATTTTTTTTCATTAATTCATTCATTCTTTTTGGGTGTGATTGACCACCCAAAAGCAGACCATCTTGGATATTAATAATCAACACAAGGGAGGAGATGCAGTTATTTCACCCTTCATGGAAAACTTAATCTATTACTTAATTTTTTTTTCATTGTTATTATTTTTTTGTGTGAGTCACACACTGTCAAATCAGATCTGACTGGTACAGGAGGAGATTGCTCCTCCTTCTCCAGCAGCACTTCTGGTGGATTCAAACCGCGTACCTCTGTGATTGCAGTGCAGTCATCTGTTACTTAAAAGAAGGAAGGACCCAGTGCTCTTGACAGCTAAAGCTACATGCAGCTCTGCAGTTGGGATGTCCCCATGTCAGTGCTGTGGTCTGGATTTTTAGAGATGAAAGATGCAATGCAAAGTCCAAGAAATGAAAACATGAAGTGTTTCAGATCACATTTCCCAGCATGAGCTCAGGAGAGAGAATCATGTCTGTCATATTTACTGCTGTGTCCCCAGGCCAGTACAGCACCCCAGCCAGAGGGGCCTCAGCAGTCATTGATTGAGGGACAGGGGAATCTAATGTGAGCTACTTTGTCCCTTGACGTGATTGGTGCATTGCACCTGACACTACCTTCTCACATGGAAATTACACAGATGACAACTAAAAGTGACCAGATGGATCTTTCTAAAATAGGATCAAATTCCACCTGGCAGCTGTCACTGATTCATGTGCCTCCGACTGACCCATGACTTCCAGTAATGGTCAGTGCAGCATAAATCCAGCCGTAGGACACATGTGGCAGGCTTGGGGGCTGGTCCTCCAGCTGTGGTGTGAGCCCAGGCTCAGCCTCATCTCCCTGCACCTCACATTCTGTACCTTGTACCCTGTGGGTGAGCTTGCCCAGCATCATTCCAGCATAGTGAAGCATTTTTATTGATTAAATTGTGTGTCTTCTTTCCCCAACACCCCTCCAAAATATGTCAACGTGCTTAGACCACGATGTCATTCTATTTCATCTAATAATCTGATGGCATTATATTATGTGTATTAAGTCCTAACCCCTAAGATGATGTTAAGGCAGGATTAGGGCCAGTTTTGTTAATGAAGCAGAATACAATGTCCAGAATTAGGTTATATTATAGTTTGAGCCTTTCCCTTTTGAGATATGAAAGAGATTAATAAGTGTGCAAAAACCTGGAGGGACCTCAGGATCAGGGTTGGAACGTATTTATATCCGTGCACTGTGAATCTCTAGCCCCACGGACAGATGAATGCCAGGACACGTGGAGATGCCTACAGGATTCAAACCCATAGATGTTTGAGAAAGATGGCAATGATCTTCCTCCAGAGCCATACAAGAGAGAATTCCTCCTCTTGGAGCCTCTCCTTGTTATGTCCCCTTGAGTCAGAACCAACTCATAGTTGACCCTCCTTTGCGTTTCATTGTTATTTTGTTCCTTCCAGCCAGAACTGACCCAGAGCTGACCCTCCAGTTGGTTTTCAGAGGCAGTAAATTACACAGGAGGAGATTGCCCATCCTTTTCCCATAGAACACCTGGTAGATTCAAACCACGTGCTGGTGGGTTGCACTCAGAGAGATTGCCAGTCTTTCTCCTCCAGAGCAGCTAGTGGACCTTGTACCTTTGTGTGTGGCAGCATCACTCCTTACCACTAGGCCATGAGAGCTCCCTGGAACTAGCACCCAGAATCTAGACTTCTAGGCTCCTGAACTGTGAGAGAGTAAATACCTGTTTGTTAAAGCCACTCACTTGTGTTTTTATTATAGCAGCACTGGAGAGGTAAGAAAAGTCATTTTCTTATTAATGTATTAATTCCTTTTGGATATGATTAGTCTTTGGAGCTATACGCACAAACTTTATCTTAGGTGTTGATAGTTAATCGTCATCTGGCCTAAATGTCCCAAACCTCAATGTTTAACACCTACTGAACAAGTTGTTCATCTGGGCCAGTAAGGGTTACTAGTATCGGGCAGTGGTTATTTAAAAAATCCACTAGCCTGGAGCTGAGGCTGAGGGACCACATCTCAAGGCACCCCAGTGCACCAAGACTGGGGCACCTTGACAAGCATTTATTTGTTCAGAGGGAAAAAGCTTTTCACTAACAGGGCAAGGTAGCTAAATTCAAGGTGTCATTGAGCAGATCAAGGCCCTCCAGAAACACAGTCTCACGGGGCAGGGCCATGCTGGCCAAGAGAACAGATTGTCCTAAGGGAGCAGGGTGGGTAGCACACACAGGCAGCCTCCACTCCCTCAATGCCTTTTCTGTTCCCTCAGCACACAAAAATGGGCCTTCTGCCTGGCTTCTCCTCTGCTACAGTTCCCTACTCCACCCAGTCCCCAAACCTGCCACCCACCTCATCCCTGTGGACCCAAAACTCAAAATGTAGCCCCTCAGTCTGCCTGCCTCAGAACTGCCTGAACCACAGAAGAATAGAATCTCCCCTATGGTCTACACCATGGTCTCTGCAGGCAGCACTCTGGGATCAGCTGTTTGGCAAGAGAAGCACTGTCTACCCTGTTGTCCTGTGTCAGGGTTCAAGCATGCCCATCTTCCTATGTCTATTTTCTGCTTCAGGAAGAGAGCTCCTGTTGTGGGACAGCATTCCTGCCTCTTTCTTCTTGCCTCTGCAGCAAGCCCTGTATAGTTCTCAGAGGACGCACTGCTCCATCTCCTGGCCCCTGCCCTGAAGCCGGTTCTCTGGGCCTGACCACTGTGCCTACTGTGGCCTCTGCTGACACTCCCCACCCCCATCCCAGAACCATACCTGCTGTCTCAGGCCATGTGTATGTGTGACAGGCTGCCTCACTTCACCCAAGAAGAATTTTGGGAGAAGAAAATCACACTTTAGGCTTCAAATACCACTTAAAATCTCTTGGGTCTACTTTCCCATAGAAACCAATCTCCAAGATACATTGTTTTATGAAACAGCAGTGCCTTTGGCAATGAGAATAATGGTATTACTGATTTTCATCCTCCACTGGCTGCACCTGTGTTGGTGAACAAGATGCCGGCTTAGTGCTCACTGCAGGACCCCTCCCAGCTCTGGGGGTGCTGTTGGTACCACCCACCACTCACTACCTCAGTTAAGCAAGGTATTTCCTTAAGGTGCACTTGACCCAAATCATGGTATTTTTAGGTAACTTGTATGTTTGTGAAAGTTGGACAATTAAAAAGGACGGCCAAAGAACAGCCGATGCCTTAGAATTGTGATGTTGGTGAAGAGTCTTCTGTCCCATGGACAGCCAGAAGAACAGATCTGTCTTACAGGAGGTACCTCTTGGAGAGCAGAGGGCTGCTGGCCCAGGCAGAAGGAGGCTGTGCCTGACAGCTTGCGTTCATCCTCTCGTCACAGCCCCATGCATACATCAGACGTATTCCGAGTTCAGACCGCTGACATGAAGTGAGTTTAATAGGGCAAGGTTCAGATCTGTCGTTCATGGAATCACCACGAGTCAGAGCTCGAAGGCGCCTAACAACATCACTACAATAAAGTGAGTCACGCAATTTTTTTTCTCCTAGTGTGTATAACAAACTTATCTTAGAGGAAATGCAACCAGGGTGCTCCTTGGAGGCAAGGATAGTGGAGCTTTGTCTCACATACTTCGAGCATATTATCAGAGGTCAGCCCTTGGCAAAAGCCATCATACTAGGAAAGATAGAGGGCCAGAGAAGGAGAGGAAGACCCTCAAGAGATGAATTGACACAGCGGCTTAACAGTGGGTTTGAGAATGGTAAAGATTATGAGGAAAGCACAGGATAAGGTCAAGATTCTGAACTGTTATTCACAGGGTCATATGAGTCGTAGCTGACTCAATAACATCTCACACAAAAAAACATTTTTAAGACGTCATCTGCTCATGCTTCTAGATTTAGGTCAAGCTCCTTGTTTTAAACTGTATTGTTTATATCTTTGTAAGGATCTGTCTTCTTTCATACTGCTCCACTCAAAAAAGAAAAAAAATGTCATGTTTCGTAAGGACAGTGGACGGATAGCTTCACTTTGAACCACCTGCTACAACAAATAGCTTGAGTTTGTGGTTAGTGACTTTGAAAGAGAAGACATATTTGTTGACCTCTGTGGTGGAGACTTCTATTTTGGGGATTTTATTCCTTTTCCCTCCTCACTCCAGGCTGTTTCCTGCTGTTTCCTGCACTTTCCTCTTTCCTGTAATCCCTCTCTGGCCTGCTCCTTATCTTAGTATTGCGTTTATTAAGCAGCCATTCTTTAATGGGCCAGTACTAGTTGCAGGAACTGAAAGGACAAAGATTGGCCCATGATTTTAGAGAATCCAGGGCAGGGCAGCCCTCCATCGTGCTGTCTTCCTCATTCTGGCACTCAAAGTTCCTTTCTCTGGGATCAAAGTCGATTATTCCATAACTGGAGAGGAGATTGGAAACCTAGAACTCTCAGAAAAGGAGTCTGTGACTCGTTCACACATTGAGATGTGGAATAACCCCATTGGGGGCTCCTCCCTGAGCGGCTCTTATGTTGAAGATGCGGGAGCTAGGAGCTTCCAGGACCTCCCAGGAGGTGCTCAGGTAAAAAGCTGCAGTGGCTCAGAAAGTCGGGAGCTCTGAGTGCTGCCCAGTGATGTATGGGAGGAATGGAATTCAGTTACACTGGAGGAAATCTAGAGCAAACAACCTAGGAAGAGCCATGACTAAAACTGAAAAGGGGATGGAAGTGGGACAGAGACCCTAGAGGACAAAGAACAAAACCGCA